TCATTCCTTTAAGCTGAATGTTAGGAGATTTAGGGCAGATAAAATGATAATGCAGGCAATAAATCTGTGGAATATATTTCCAAAAGAAGTAGTTATGTTTGCCAATTGGGACGGCTTTACAAGAGGAAACCTGGGATGCAAGATGAAGATTCACATCCTGATCACAGATTGGCCCTTGGTTTGATCCAATACAGTTCCTTTTAATTTTCTCATAGCAGTGAAATCCATTTCAGGATTCACCTCTGAGTAAGTTATAGCAAATAACATCTCCACATTATATTGTCGAAGGCTTTCATGGCTGGAATCACTAAGTTCTTGTGGGTTTTTTCGGGCTATATGGCCATGTTCTAGAGGCATTTCTCCTGACGTTTCGCCTGCATCTATGGCAAGCATCCTCAGAGGTAGTGAGGTCTGTTAGAACTGGGAAAAAAGGGTTTATATATCTGTGGAATGACCAGGGTGAGACAAAGGACTTGTTAGTTGGGCTAGGTGTGAATATTTCAACTGACCACCTTGATTAGCATACAATGGGCTCACTGTGCCTGGAGCAAACTCTTCTTGAAAGGTAATTAGATGTCCCTGCCTGTTTCCTCTCTGCTGTTTTTGCTGTTGCAATTTTAGAATTTTTTAATACTGGTAGCCAGATCTTGTTCATTTTCATGGTTTCCTCCTTTCTGTTGAAATTGTCCACATGTTTGTGTATTTCAGTGGCTTCTCTGTGTAGTCTGACATGGTGGTTGTGAGAGTGGTCCAGCATTTTTGTGTAGAGTACTAGCTGCAAAGTTGATCATTTTTGTTGTTCTTCTGAATGTATTAATTATTCATTTTTCCCCTTCTGTTATTCATAATCTTGATGCTGTTGCTAGAATTCAAGATTTTATGTATAGGGACATATGTCCTTGGCTTAGACACTACAAAAGCCAAACTTGAGCCATAGTTTTTTTTAAATAATATGTCACCTGGTTACTACAGTGTTTCTTCAATTCTAAGATTCATTTCCCCCCCATATAAACATCTATAAAATGTGGTGTATCTTGCACACACACACACATCTACACCTATACACACGTACACACAGATAGTCCCTGAGTTATAAACAACCAACTTACAAATGACTCATAGTTAAGAATGGGGATGAGACAACAGGAAGTTAGAGAGATCTACCCATCGGAAGGGAAATTCACTTGGGGAAGAGTTATCATGGGAAAAGGTGTGTCCACTGAAGCTTTATTTCCAATCCTTGCTCCCACAATGAGCCACATTTTTCAAAATCCAATTATCATGGAGACAGAAAGTGAGGTGATAGCTTCTGAATAGGAGCATAGACAGAAAAACAAACACCACAGGGTGTTAATCCTTCCCTTTGCTATCCAAATCTATCTATCTATCTATCTATCTATCTATCTATCTATCTATCTATCTATCTATCTTTCAGTGTTACACCAGCCATATATAGATGTGTGTGTGTGGCTGGAGTTACACTTAAAAATGTACCTGTTCTGACTTACAAACAAATTCAACTTAAGAACAAATCTACAGAACCTATCTTGTTCATGACTTAGGGAACTGTCCGTTTTTGATACTAAATTTAGTGTGTGTCTTACAAACAACAATGTCTTAGATTAGAAGAAATGTGGTATATAGTATGTTTTCATGCAACCTCTTTCTAAAAGGTCTGATTAGTTTTCATTTTCTAATTAATTGGTTGATAAAGCTATCTACATGCATGTGTACTTGCACACACACACAGAGTTAAAATAACAGTTTTCAGGAAAAAGATATTTAGATGATGAAAAGATTTGTTACAGAAGGCAACATGTTAAAAGAGGCATTTTCCAATTTTGTGAGACTGATGGGAGTATTCCAAGAAAGTGCCAATTTTGATTAATATTTCTATTTAAAAAGACAGATGCCCTTTAGCGTAGTCTGACCTATTCTTGCAGTAACTATTGCATTGTTGGAATGTTGTTAAGAAGAAAAATATCTTGGAAACAAATTTACTCGGTCATATTTTGCTGTTTGAATAGGAAGGTGCATGACTTGCAGCTGGAACAAAGTTCTTGTTATTTGCACCTGTTGTATTGGCTACTGTTGCAGTAACAGAGGTATTGCTTAAGTTTGCTTCCCTAAAACATGTGGCATGAGATTCACAATCAGCATTCCTCATGCCGACAACTTCCAATTGTGTTTGTATATGGTATTGTCCCCAATAAGCTATGGGCAAATACAAATAAGGGGGCTGTTAAGGTCCTGAACCAGTGCTTGGCAGCAGTGACGGTCTGGATGAGACTGAATCCAGACAAGACAGAGGTCTTCCTGGTGAGTCGCAAGCCCGAACAGGGCACAGGGTACAGCCTGTTCTGAATGGGGTTAGACTCCCCCTGAAGACACAGGTTCGCAGCTTGGGGGTGATCTTAGACTCATCACTGAGTCTCAGTGGTGGCTAAGGGAGTTTTTGCACAACTAAAACTTGTGTGCCAGTTTTGCCTGTACCTTGAGAAGTCTGTCCTGGCCATGGTGGTCCACGCTTTTATTACATCCTGAATAGCAATGCACTCTATGTTGTTGCCTTTAAAGACTGCCCAGAAGCTCCAACTAATCCAACAGTCAGCAGCCAGGTTACTCACCAGAGCAGCAAACATAGAGCATACAACCCCTCTGTTATGCCAGCTCCACTGGCTGCTGATCTGCTACTGAGCACAATTCAAAGGCAATGATGTGGAGGAGGTGATGTTCCAGCGGAATAATGTGTTCCTAGGCCTGGATTTGGCACAAATCCACCCTGGGGCAGATTTATCCCTGACTAAACTACCTGGTGTAGATGAGCCCTCAGACAATCTATCCACATATCTACCCAGAAGTAAATCCCATTGAGGTTAATGGAACCCGAAAGATGGAAATCCATGCAATGTCATATGTGACCATTGGAATGAATCAAATTCTTCATAATAATCATGCCTTTTCCACTAACTGAATGTATTTTAGCTAATTCTATTCCATTTACCTCCTGGTCTTGAAAGCATTGTATAGGATTTTCCCACTCCCACTTCTGTTTTATCTTAGGCACTCTACCAGATGTTGTGTATGTGTGTATGATGCTATATGGTCTTAATTATTATTACATGTTGTGCTGTTACATAAGAATATTAGAACTGTATACATACAGAATCTTCCAGGAATAGAGCAAATTAGAGTTTCTGAAAACCTTGCTCACAGAATTTGCTGCTGCTTCACTCTTTTTAGATCCTCTCACATTGACATTTAGTTGCATATTTCAGAGACACTTCATAAAGTATGAATTAGCTCTGACTGCCCTCTTTTGGTAAGTGTATTTCTAGAGCTTTTAAAAAAAGATTTCCAGTTACTTACAACTACAGCATAATGATCACTCTACAACATTCATTATTACAGCGAGCAAGACAACACTGCTTTTACTGAAATGTCTGTCAAATATAGTTAGATTTATAGTCACATTTAAACAGTGGATAGTAGGCTATATATATTATCCTCATTGGGAATTCAGCATGGAAAAGTGCTTTTAGGTTTGCTGTTATGTGGACTGAAGGAAAAAGAAGAATTAACAGATGTCAGTACACTGGCCACTTAAACATCACCAGAGAGAAAGAGATGGATGGAGAGAGGAGAGAGAGATAGGTAGCCAGCCAAATATCTATACATATGTATCACACATGATAATTTATTTGTATAGATCCAAATTTAGAAATAATTATGGGAAACTGAAAAACAAAGAAAGAAAATATAACTAGGATTCAGCAACAGTGGAAAGACCATAACAATGTATTATCCATGTGCAAACAGTTGAAGTCCTCTGTCCTTCCTCACTATGTTTATTTTTAAACTATACTTGGATGACACAATCCTTCAAACCAAGGCCTCTCATTTGTAAAAGACAATGCATGGACAGCTTGGATGAACATGCACATCCATGCATTGTAAACTGGATGGTTACAGGGTTTTATAAAGTGAACATGCTGAGCTTCCAGGAGAGGCCTTGGCACTCTCTCCTAGTTTGTTGGAACTGCTTTTCGGTAATGCTTTTGCAATAGCATTTTTGACATTTCTAGGAAGTCACATTTATCCCCATTGAACATGAAGCGGCATGACTTATATTCAGGATTCGCTAGCTTCCTATTCTAACCAAAGAATTAGGGAGGTATAGAGATATATTTGTCTGGGGGGTGGGGGAGAGGAGGTTGTATATGTTTGTACTCACACACACTTTTAGTGTGTGAAAGAGACAGAGAGAGACAGAGAACACAGTTATATTAATTGTTCATTGTTTTCTATTTTAGTATTTTTGAATGTATTATTGTAGTGAATAGTAACTGTAAAAATAATGGTTATATTTAAAACACTGGTGTCCAGGCCATCACTGCTTGCTGTTTTGTTATTGCTGTTGTTCAACTGAGTTGTTGTAAGTTTTTCAGGCTGTATGGCCATGTTCCAGAAGCATTCTTTCCTGACATTTCGCCTGTGTCTATGGCAGGCATCTCAACTTCTTGCACACTCTTTCACTGTGTCATGACAATTTATCCTATTTGATCAATTAGATAAATGATTAAACTATCATGACACTGTGAAGGGACAATCCCCTGAATCCATTTTCTGAGGACACTTCTCAACATGTTCAACACATTTCTGTTCTTATCTATGACCTGAATGGCTTTGCAGAAAATAATCCAGAGGATATGATACACAGTTTGACATAGCCCTGAACCTCACTTGAAGTAACATGGACAAAGCAAAATACTTCTTAAAATATCTTGGATAGCAATGCTTGTCATTTCTTGAGAAATAAGACCCACTTAGTACTATATGGATGTCTTCCAAGTGAATATGTGTAGCCATTTCTATTTAAGAGAGCCTGCTGTTTGTGAGATAAAGACTGATTAAACTGAGGAACTTTCTGCATACAGATTAATAAAGGAAATTAATATGAGTCTACAGATATTTTAGATTTCTTTAATCATCTTTTTCAGGAAAGCCATCTCCAGATCTGGCCTTCAACATTTGGCCCCTGTTCAAAACCTCAATAACGCCATCACGAATGGACCAGTGAAGGAGTCAAGAATGGCGCTAGAATGGACTGTAGGTGGTTCTTTCTCTCTTTTCAATTCTAGATAGGAATATTAAGTCATGGATGGAGATAACAACATGGGTGGAATTAGAATAACTAAGAAAGGGGGGGGGGGTGCTGCTGATATATGAATGAGTGATTATTTCCTACAAAATTGCATGGATGTCCAGCCAAAGACAGTAATTCTGTTTATATAATTTGGATATATGTAATGACTTTATAACAGGTGTTATGAAAACAGTATTATTATATATACCATTATTCATCTAAAATGGAATGATAATTAACCTGTTTTGCTTATTCTTATTCACCTCTTTTCTGATATTTCACTATCTTTTAAGACTTATCTTTACAATAGTTAAGACCAAAAATTTGAGCCCTTTTAAAACAGATGCACTCGGGATTTCCCCCCTGAAATGCCATTAGGCATATTTAAGATTTCTTTCTTCTAAGCAAAAACATCTTTAACACAAAGTTGTCAAGAACAAACTGCATCAGATGCCACAATATTAGATACAAGCATTCATTATCTTGGTTTATTTGATTGTGTGTGGGAGGCAGTTTACCAATAAGGTCTATAATGTCACTGTAAACTAATATGGGCCCAGTGAATATGCCATTGGATATTATGAGTCCCTGTGGTGCAGTGGGTTAAACCGCTAAGCTGCTGAACTTGCTGATTAAAAGGTTGCCAGTTTGGATCTAGGGAGCGGGGTGAGCTCCTGCTGTTAGCCCCAGCTTCTGCCAACCTAGCAGTTTGAAAACTTGCAAATGTGAGTAGATCAACAGGTACCGCTCTGTCAGGAAGGTAACAGCGCTCCATGCAATCATGCTAACCACATGACCTTGCAGGTGTTTACGGACAACGCCGGCTCTTCACCTTACAAATGGAGATGAGCACCAACTCCCAGAGTTGGGCATGACTGGACTTAATGTCAGGGGAAAATATTCACATTTACCTATTAGTAGTTATGGGAAAAATAGTTATTTTCATTATGTTCTGCTTTGGAGCATTCTAGAAACACCTGGCTGGCTCCTGCATCGGGTACCAATGCTGGGGATTGTGGGAATGACAGTCCCCAAACAGGCTAAAGCAGGGGTGCTTTTATGTTCTTAAAACAACACACTCATGAAAGCAACAATGGGCTTTTCTTCTTATAGCACATAGGGCTGTGTAGACTACAACTCCAGGGTGTCTTTAGCATGACATTTAACCAAGAGGGCCTTTCTATGTTTTCCAGCTCTGGCATGGGCTGGTCCATGCTACAGAAAGAAGAATGTTTTCCTGTTAATGCATGGACATCATTGCTGAGAGGTCACTCTTTGTTGATCGTAAAGCAGTCAGAGACTAGATACAAATTTAGATTTCTCCTGGATACAAATAGCACCTTGCATTATGCCTGCCATGGCCTATGAATCTGTAATGGACACTTGGAGAACCACAGTGACATGCTCTTGGCAACACATCCTTATTTGAGTTTTTCTCTGGGGAATAGTGGTGTAATTTATAAGTATCCAGCTCCATCACCCTTTCAAGGACACAGATGAGAAGAGAAACTAGATGTCTTCCCAAATGGGTTGTAGAAATAGGCCATTTTTATCTTTAGCAATCTAAGTTTGGAAGTCATAAAGAAAGTATGTGAACTGTGACAGGGATATAATAGCAGGGAAAGAAAGCAGATGGTCTCCACATTATTTTAATTTTTTTTTTAAAAAAAATCAGAATGAGGTAACAAAATGTGGAAAACACATTTTCCTCCACCTCTCTTTCAGCTCTTTTAAATCTAAATGGTGTGAATTTTATGAAAGCTCCAATGAGAGTAGACCTAAGGCCCCATCTACACTGCCATATAATCCAGCTCCAGAATGCAGTCTAACTGCACTGAATTGCATTATATGGCAGTGTGGATTCATATAATCCAGTTCAATGCAATTAAACTACATTCTGAATCCACATTATATAGTAGTGTAGAAGGGGCCTAACTTCATTTAATTGCTGAGCAATGACTCAACTCTTATCCAGATATCATTATTTTAATAGTACTCTGCTTTATCTAGAACTGCAATAGGATTCAGTTCAATATTTTTTTGCAAAGTAGGTACTTGAAATTATTTAGTCAAGTTTTACTACCAGGTAAAAGAAAAGGTGGGATTCAGAATGTTTTGTGATCCACATAATACTGAACAGAACTTTCATAGTGTTATAACTGCTACCCCTTCAAATGATCCTTTTCAGTCTAGAAAGACTCTCCCTATATCCCTATGTTTATCCTAGAATACTTCAAAGTACTGGAAAACAAATCCCTTTGTCCACTAGGAACAGTTAGTTGTTCCTGTAAAACCAATAATTTTTAGACATGCATACATTAAATGTGAGACATAGAAAGCGGGATCATAACTGCTGGACCCATCTCCCATTTTGCCACTTCTCACTAAGGGTGCATCTGTGCTGTAGAATTAATGCATCATTTTAATTGCCATGGCTCAATGCTATGGACTCCTGGAAGTTGTAGGTTCACAAGGTCTTTCACCTTATCTGCTAAAGAGTGCTGACGCCTCACCAATCTACAGCTTCCATGATTCCATAATGTGAAGTTTTGGCTCTGCCTTTTCCTCTCCTCTGCTTTAGTTCCCCCTATTCATAGATTTTCCTAATAGTGTATTTGTATTAATTTTGGGTGGAGCTTAAAATCCCCCCCAGATGCCAGCTTTAGTTGGTCTATTCCATTTCCCTGTATTGAACTCTCTTGTTGGACTCCTCCCCTTTTCTATAGCAGAACTACTGTGATTTAGGCTTAGGATTGTCTGGTAATCCTAAACCCAAGCAATTCAAACAGGCATCCTTAGCACCTGAATTCAGCAGTATTTTACATCCTCAGTCCAAAGGACAACAGAAGCTTATGACTAGATTATGCTTCACAAGAAAGAAGATTAGGACAGTTTATAACCATCGTTTTGCAACAGAGGCAGAAGATTCCAAAGAGATGATTGCAGTCAGCAAAGGCTCCTTTTGTAATGTTTTAAGTTACCTTATGATAGTCCCAAGTGGAGTTAACCCTTTATTCATCTTGTTTCCAGTGAACACATTTTGGTTGTCTTTTCACCTTGCCTAAAGTGCCTCTAAAGTGCTAAGGGTCTTAATCTTAACAGAAGGTCTACAGATAGCCCCCGAATAAAGCCAGATACTATAGTTTTCCCAGAGGCTCAGGCATGTCATCATACATAGCATTGAGCCATGACAGTTAAAGTGGTGTCAAATTGATCAATGCTACAAAAACCAGTGTAGTGAAATGATTAACATTGGTTCTCAACCTGTGGGTTCCCCAGGTGTTTTGGCCTACAACTCCCAGAAATCCCAGCCAGTTTAAGAGCTGTTAGGATTTTTGGGAGTTGAAGGCCAAAACATCTGGGGATCCACAGATTGAGAACCACTTGATTAGGGTTGGAGTAATGCTAAGGAGACCTGAGTTCAGATTCCCATTCATCTGACAGGGGGTTTGGGACCATCTTCCTACCTAATCTACATTATACTCCACAGAATTGTTATGTTACAATGGGGAAGAGAACCACGCAAACTACCATAAGTTCCTTTGGCAAAAGATGAGCTAGAAATAAGAATGGCAAACTTTTTGCCCTGTGATCTTTTTGCAGACTAGCCAGAAGATTCGAAATAGACATCTTCAGGGGACAAAGTATCATGAAAGGGTCAGTTCTGTTCCCTAAGGTGCATTTTATATAGATATGGAAGCAACCTCTGAATAGTCCTATGGTTCTAGATTATTATTACTTTTTTAGATAAATGGTTTAGATTTAAAAATGGAAAAATTGATCCCATATGCCCTACATACAAGAGCAAGCTAATGTAGGGCAGGCTTGAGCTAATTATCTTCCTTGTATGACCTCCTGTTCTGCTTCCACCTGGGATCCATCAATGAGTATTAAATTTAAAAAGCAAGAAAGCATATATATTATGCATATGATTTCTGAGCCAGAGAGGATGGTTTTAAAAAAATGTTTAAAAATCAGGTTGTTTTTTTTGTTTTTTTGCTATTATCAGCTTTGCTGTAATAATATTTTATTTATTTCATCTCTATTTATTTTGGAAAACAAAACAACAACAACAACAACAACAACAGCAGCAGCAGCAAAACCTTTATGGTTTTGGATTTTGTGCCTGGTCCTACTAACCTATTACAGATTCACAAGGATGTAGCCAAAGGAAAAAAGGTGGGGGCAAAGTAGGGGCATTCTCACCATGAGAATCCTGCCCCTTTAACGAAGTTTTCCTCCAGTCTCCATATTACTAACATTCCAGAGAATGAGACATTGAAAAGAAAATATGCCTAGATTTTGTAGATGAATTATGCAAGCATTCCCTTGGTACCTTTGCCTGCTGCTTGTCTTTGAGTGCCTAAACTATATTTCTAAATGCTAAGCTGATGTTTTAGGTTATTGCTAGAAATGTGAAGGGCATTTTTATTGGGAGGCCAGAACTCTGATTTATGTGTGGGCCAGTGCCCGCATTTCATTATTCCTCCAATAGCTGGGCCCTTGCAGAGTTCAGACTTGCAATCTGGTATTTCCTTAATGGAATCATAGAGTCATAGCATTGAAAGAGACCCTAAGGCAGTGGTTCTCAACCGGTGGATCCCCAGGTGTTGTGATTTACAACTCCCAGAAATCCCAGCCAGTTTACCAGCTGTTACGATTTCTGGGAGTTGAAGACCAAAACATCTGGGGACCCACAGGTTGAGAAACACTGCCTTAAGAGCTATCCAATCCAACCTCCTACCATGCAGGAATACATAATCAAAGTACTCCCTGCAGATGGCCATCCAGCTTCTGTTTTAAAACCTCCATGTTAGTAATTTGGAGAGACTCCACCACACTCTGAGGCAGCAGCATATTCTACTGCCAAACAATTGTTATTATTGGGAAGTTATTTCTAATGTTTAGGTAGAATTTCTTTTGCAATCATTGAGTCTATTGCTCTATGTCTACCCTCTGGAACAGTAGAGATTATATAGGTTTTCAAATATATAAAGATTGTTATTGTGTCACTTCTCAGCTTTGTTTTTCTCCAAATGAGCTCTCTAAGCAGCTCCTCACAGGGCATGGTTCAAGGGAGGACTATGACAGGAAATTTTGGGTTACATTCAATTTGTAGTTCCATCTTAAGTAGATCAATTGGCATATGGCATTCATGTCCCTGTGATACCACCATACGTGTTGATGTAGTTGTGTCAGTGTAGTGCCCCAACAGGAGTCTACTTGGAAAATAACTAGAAATTCCAAAATACCCTAGCCAGTATGCTAACTGGAAGATTCTGTACTCGAAAAAAAGTTTTCCAAGTCTAGTTAACCTGTGGCATTATGTGAGTAGCAAAGCCCTGTTTTGCTATTTCCTTTATTTTCATTATGGGAACAGGAATGTGGACAGATTTTTTTCTTAAAATATCTTTCTTTAAAAACCCACATTTTTCTTTTCTTTTCTTTCCTTTTCCTTTTCTTATTTTGTTTATTGCAATACTCTTTTGGCATTGATTTTTTCATGACTGATTTCCATGGTGAAAGGAGAAGTGTTTTCTGTTTCATTACATTTAAACTGTCAGGGAGATTGAAAATGAGAAGCTAGACAAAAAAAGAAAATGTTGACAGTGCAGGTGATCTGTAAGCTGTCTGCTGTTGGACACCATCTGGTTCTAAAGCAACAATTTGATTTGTGAATTTTTCAGCAGAGAAGCCAAAATGTCAGACATAGTCAATGCATTTTCCATCATGCCACAGTTCTGGACTCCCTTGGCTTAAAGCATCATGTTGTTCATTGTTTATTTCAAATTAAGTTGGAGTTAGATCAAGATCCTTCTGAAACTGTATTGCACTTGCCATGCCAGCTGGAGGAATCTAGGATTGTAGTCTAAAAAAATAGATTTCCAGTATTTGGTCCACATGCTATTTGTCTCTATCTTCTTGTTTTGTCCTACTCAAGGTTTGCATGGAAGCATATCAGGACCTTGGACAGATCCAAATGACAGGCATAGGAAGAACTGTTGTCCCCTGAGGTTAAGCTCAACCCATCATCCCTACTTTTGACCCTCAGGAATAGAAACATAAATTGTCACGTATGTTGTTCTCTCATTCAAGAACAAACATCTCAGCAATTAGAGTTAAAAATTAGAAGACTGTTTTTACATTGTATTTTAGCATTTTAGATCAAATTTTTATGAATATTGTTTGCAAAATATAGTGTTTTGTGCAAAATATATATTTTGTGCTAAGAAGCTTTGCAGTAATCTACACTTTTTAATGCAAAACCCAACAGATAGAGGTAAAGAGCTGATATTTTCACTTAATATAGGAGATGGCCAAACTCACAGAATTTGACAATGTTTTCAGAGGGGATTTGAGGTATCTTTTTTTCTCCAGGGAAATATTTTTTAAATACTCTTCATGCTCTTTGTTTTCCTTGCTGAGGAACCATTCATGATTCTTAAAATATGTTTGCATTCTGCAAGCTTTTGCAGACTGGCAGAAGTAAGGACTGCACCACATCTCCTGCTTGGACCTCTTACTTCCTCATCACACTACAGTTACAGCACTCCATTCAACTTTAATGGTCATGGACTGTCCTTTGGAATTGTGGAGTTTGTAGTTTAGAGATGACCAAAAATACTAGGTTTGAGAATGCTAAATTTCCCCTTGTAAATTACAAACCTCAGGATTCTATAAGACGTTGACATGGCATTTAAAGTGCAACATAGTGTTCTAACAGTGTAGTGTAATGTGGGCTTGGTCTTCCTCTGAACAAGAGTGACGGAGGAAAGCAGCTTGATTCGCAGCCAAGGGCGATGGTAGGGGTAGTTCAGCAACATCAGGAAGATAATAGCTTCTCTGACCATGCAGGGCAGGTAATTTTCCCTGTAGAACTTCCCCCACACTTCAGAAAGAGGAATCTCCATTTAATGGTGGGTGGTGAATCCATCATCACTGTGATGTATATTCTTACTGGGCATTAGCTTTTCCTTTAAAGGAACCATTTGAAGTGATGCACCTGTTTTGGGGATATAGTTAGTTTTAATTTTCAATTCAATTCTATATTAGTTATAATTTTCAATTGATTATGTTTGATTTAAATTATAGTTGTGGTTTTTAAGTTGCTCTTTATGTGGAGTTTTCTTGGGCTTTTATATTTGTATTTACTGTTATTGAGGCATTGAATGTTTGCCTTTCTGTTTATTGGAATCTGCCCTGAGTCCCCCAGGGGAGATAGGGTAGAAGATAAATAAAGTTGTTGTTGTTGTTGTTGTTGTTGTTGTTATTATTATTATTAGTGCCTTACATAGATCATTCAAAATTTAGACAATCTGAGTTTATTCACTGCCTCATGAACATTGGAATCACTAGGTGCCCTATCTTTGCTTATGAAATGACATGGTCTTTATGAAGGCATTGATTTGCTGGCGTTGCCATCTTAACAGAGTTGGTTTTGAGAACCAACTCTCTTAAGTATTTTTGACCATTAGCAAACTTCATAACACATCTCAGAACAGTACCATATAATGCCTTTGGCAAATGCTGTCAACCTATGACTTTGAATTTGTATTCATAGTTTAGATATGATAAAAGTATTTCATGCTTTCTAATCTTCCTTTTGGGTCTGCAAAGCTGTGAAAGCTTGCATACAAATTATTCTTTTCTTGTATATTTTTTCCTAAATTGTGAGTTCCATGTTCTCTGAAGTGAGAATGTGATCCTATCAGCCAAATTCTATCAGGCATATTTTATGGATATCTTTGTCAGTTACAGTGCAATGAGTTGTGAGACGTTTTCTGACCATTTGAGCATAGCAACCAACAAAACTATTTGAGCCTTATAGGATGTTTTGTTGGGCAACCAGAAGTATGCACAAAGGTCCATGAATGTCATGGTTACTGATGTACATGTATAATTGAATCCAAGAATAATACTGAATTATTCAAAAGAACAAGTGCTTTGCCAGATCAGATCAAAATCCTATGTGAGTGGTGCAAATCTTGTGGCCTATGGGTTTTTCAATGCACATTTTGCTATCCTAGATCATTCCTGCTGCCTTGAGATGTCCCCCGTAACTATAAAGTAGCCCTCTGAAAAAGTATCACTTTCTCTGAAGTCATTTGCACTCAAGTCCCTTCCACCAAAGCAGAGTTAAGGCACCATTCTTAGGGCAACACTTTCCCTGAAGTAGAGTTTAGGCTCCTTCCTTAAGGCATCACTTTCCTTGGGGCCATTTACACTCAAGTCCCTTCCACCAAAGCAGAGTTAAGGCACCTTCCTTAGGGTTGTTTGCACTCAAAAATCTTCCACTGAAGCAGAGTTAAGACATCCTTTTTAAACACTTCTTTCAGTGGAACCCACACCATCTGAAGGAACATTAGAAGACTACCACTAAAATACACTTTCACATCACTAAAACCCTCTAAAATGTAGATTTCCCTGACAGTTTCCATCTCACTTTAAAACCAATGCCATTTCTATGCAAGTGAGCATTGGGGGATGATTTCTCCCAGACTCTAAAAACCTCAGTTTCTACACACTTCAGAAACTGAGTCCCACAAGAACCGACAGGAAATGCTCTGGCATTGTTTGATGGGCTCCGTGGGACTCATTATTTAAAATGTCTTTAAAATGTGTAGAAATGGGGGAAAGCCAGAGTATGAAGAAGTCCTCAGTGAACACTCAGGAGCGAACCTTCTCTGCAACTGATTTCAGATTGTGGAACTCTCTTCCATGGGGTGACCAGTTGGCCCTCTCCCTGCTTTTTTTCTATTGGCATGTGGATACATTTTTATTTAGATAGGATTTCAATTAAGAAACTAGTGTATTTGTAAGTGTTGTATATTAAGAAATGATTTGATGGTTTATGTTTTTTGATGTTTATATCTTTAATTTTATTGTGTTACATTTTAATCTGTGTTTGATTGGGTTTGGTCCCCATGTAAACCTCCCCGAGTCCCTTTGGGGAGATGATGGTGGGATACAAAAATAAAGTTGTTGTTGTTGTTGTTATAATTATTGAAACTGAGTTTTTATTTTGTAAAATTGACTTTAATTATGTTTTTAACAATTTTGATATTTAATTCTTTGTAATCTTTTTAGCTGCATCTTTCTAAACTATTGTAAGCCACCTTGAGTCCACTTTTGGGAGAAAGACAGAGCATAAATTCAATACATGAATATTCTAGTTGAGAGTAATAATTAGATTTAGCCCTAATGAATGTAACATAACATGAGCTTGGGTAGACTGTAACCCACTTCATTAGATGAAACTTGGATATAAGAAGGGCTCAGAAATTAGAAGTAAGGCTCAGTGTGCCTTACTCACATGTAAATGGACAGAGAACCAAAAGCCATCAGAGTGGAGAGAATTTGGACCATAATTTCAATAAACATATTTACAATTATACTGTGGAACTTCATGTTAGAAACAGTACCAATTTGTGAACAGAATGCTGATCTTTAAGCGATAATGTATGTGGACACATTTTTTTTTTGCAGGAAAATGCAGTGAATGGTGAGCATCTCTGGTTGGAGACAAATGTTTCTGGGGACTTGTGTTACCTTGGGGAGGAAAGTTGCCAAGTCAAGTTTTCCGTGAGTGTTATGTTTTCATAATTTCTGTATCTCTCACATGCTCATATCTATGTACAATGAAAATTGTGGCAGAAGAGTGACAACAAAATATAACAGCAACAAGCACTACCACCACTACTACCAATGCTTATTTATAATGCATTTTCCACCAAAGTGTGGTGCATTAAACATATCTAGACAGGAACAAAGATAATAATAAACATTGGTCCCATGTTATTTGCCATGTTTCACTTTCATGGAGGTCCTCTGCCACTAACCCCAGTGAATATAGAGCTAACTGTATGTACAGAAAGCCTGTTATGTGAAATTTACCATTTCTTGGCAAAACATTTACTGTATATGAATGGGATTGTTTAGATTATGATAATATCAACTTGGAAAGCACTGTAAATTGGGTTAAGAGAGTTTTCCCTCTCTTAACGCAACCTCTGGTCATTGATTCTTTGCAATTTGCAGAAACACCAGCTTTGTTGTAATCAAGGCAGCTGTACTTTTTCCTCGTTGTTAATTTTTGAATGCTTTTGCAATGTAGTTTTTAAAAAAATCTGTGCTGCTTTTATTGGAAAATTTATTTAATTGTTTTAATCTGCATTGTAAATCGCCTTCAATTTGGCATTGACACAAAGACAGGACATAAAATAATATATTAATTCCCTCCATCCCCTCAGTGCCACTGTGCAATCCTGCAGCTTAATCTTGAAATGGGGGGGGGGGGGGGGGGGGTGTGAGTTTTGCTAAATGGCAGCTTCTGTTCACAGTTAACTGAGTAATGATTGGCTACATGCCATGGGTGGGATGCTTCAGTTTATGTTTGCAATAAGTGATAAAATAAATTTGGCAACATAGAGCTCAAAAAAGTCACATAACTATTTTTTTGCTTGTGGATCTAGCAATGCTTTACTTTTTTACAGGGCTTTAGTCTTTGGGAAGTGTGGGAAATTAAAGAGCCACTGCTTCTAGCCTTACAGTACTGCTGAGTTGAGTGCTCGGATGTTGATGGATTACAGTTCCTAGAACTCATTACTTGTTGAGGAGTTGAAGTATGACAACAATTGAGTGTCCACCAAAGGAGCTTAGAAAATTATTTTGGATAAGAGCTTGGTAAACTACTATATATACTCATATATAAGTCAACCTCATGTACAAGTGGAGGTTTTTGAACCACTATTATAGATTTTGATATGATGTATGGATGAGTCAAGAGTCATTCAATGGAGAGGGGAAAGTGTCAGCTTTACTTCAGTGGGCCAGCAGCTATTTTCCCTCCACCTATGCATTAAAAAAGGCCAGAAATCACATTGTGATTGAGAAAGTAGAGTGGATAAGTGATTCTTTTGGGTTATCCTAGGATGGGCCAAGCTTTCACCTTTTACCACTTTTCTCAGAGAAGGTGATGGCTCATTTTTAATATGATTATTTTTTTATTTCATGTCAAAAGCATTGCATAAATAAGTATAAAACTGATAAAATAAAGGAAGCACAAGCAGCTAAATAATTTTAGACCAAAAATGGACAAAAATTGTGATGTCCTTCTGTGTTTCCTGTACCCATAAAATGTCACACAAAATGTCCTCAGACATTTTGGCCAGTAGCTCTTCCGTAGCAAGTGGCAAGCCTTCTGTATGAATAGACATAACTGTTAGCAATGGTCTTGATAAAGACCTTTGGTGTTCATCCATTTGTGGAGGTAAAGCAATGCTTTTGGATGGGAAAGATTAGCCTTTTGCAAGAAATGTTGCCCAAGGGACGCCCAACTGTATTTACTCAGTCTTTGAGGAGGCTCTTTCCATGTAGCCTGATAAGAATTAAAGAGTAGTACACTGGGTAAGTCCACCCACATTTTTGGGTTGATTTTTTGACTAAAATTTCTAGACCTACCTGAATATATAAGATTCTTTGAAAAGGGAAAGGGTGACATGTATTGATCTGATAAACAGACATAGTACATAACGTATCATGTAAGATAATCATATGCATAAAAGAAAATGTAAAAACTCAGTTAATACACAATCAAGCACAATGTTTAAATCAGTATTTCTCAACCTGGGGGGGGGGGGGTGTCATGAGGGGTGTCATCAGAAAACACAGTATTTCCTTTTGCTCATGGGAGTTCTGTGTGCAAAGGTGGGCTCAATTCCCTCCTTGGTGGAGTTCAGAATGCTCTTTGATTGTAGGTTAACTATAAATCCCAGCAACTATAACTCCCAAATGACAAAATCAATCCCCCCAACCCCACCGGTATTCAAATTTGGGTGTATCAAATCAGGTATTTGTGCCAACTTTGGTCCAGTGAATGAAAATACATCCTTCATATCAGATATTTATATTCTGATTCATCACAGTAGCAAAATTATAGTTATGAAGTAGCAACGAAAATAATTTTATGGCTGAGGTTCAACCCAACATGAGGAACTGTATTAAGGGGTCATGGCATTAGGAAGGTTAAAAATTACTGGTTTAAATCATTGTGTGGCTACTTATGAATCCTGCCCTCCACCAAAGTAACTGCAAACACTATGAATTTTGAAGTAATTATATATTGAAGGAAAATAATGGGTAAATGTTACCTTGCAGACGGCCAATTCTCTCACAACAGAAGCAACTTGCAGTTTCTCAAATTGCTTCGGACATGAAAAAAAATACTTGCAACACAGAAAGTGTAACATTATTATGAATCATAAGTTATTATGGCCTCTTTGTTTCCTAAAGAAATATTTTAATTGCTAAGGCCTATCTGTAACATACTACAAATTCAGCCTGCATTTCCTTAGGCTCAGTGCTAGAGGCCATTGGCACAACACAATTGTAGCACAATGATTCCATTTTATTTACCATGCTGAATCCTAGGCAACTCTGGGATTTTCAGATTAGGAAGGGTTATAAAGGCTTTTCAGCCAGAGAAATCTAGTACCTTCCCAAAGAACAAAAGCCAGTATTACTTAGCAGTTAAATTGTCTCTTCATTACTTTTTTGCTACTTTTATGTGAGACTATATAGTTGGAAAGGCAGGATATAAGCTTTTCTATTTTAAAAACAGGCAGACAAAGACTTTTATTTGCTCTTTTGCTATCTGAGGTAGAAACTCTGGCATTCACAGTAATAAGTCCCTATGAGAAAAAACCAACAAGTCCAAGAAATTCCCTGTTCATATAGTATCTTTTAAATAATATTTCAGAAATCAGCTCTTCGAAGAAAATGTGCTGCTTGTAAAATTGTAGTCCACAATGCCTGCATGGAACAGCTAGAAAAGGTAAGATGATGCCATCTACTGGAATATTTATAGTGATGAACATTTTTTAAAATGTCAGGGAGAGTCAAGGTTTCTCCTTTATCATGTAACCCTGGGCTCTTGTCACATACCTTACTCCCTCTTCCAAATCTTTCCTTGGATGTATTGTGAGAATCCGAAGATGGTTTGAAATGTGAATGAGTGGCTATGTTCTTCAGACTTCTTGTCTGCACATGGATGACATTTGAAGTATCTCTGGATGGAAACACTGGAGGCATTAATGTCAACAACAACAATGAATAGTTTTCATTATTATTATTTAAAGGGCTTCTTGATAACAGCAAATACCAAGCTGGTACATCCAGTGGGCTATTCTGAGCCTCCCTCTGCACCATGGCTCTGTTTTGGTTACATAAACAATAATAAAGTTAGAACAGCAGAAATAAAAGGGCTTAAATTGCTATGTTGTAACTATCCAAAAGAACCTAGCTCCCATCTGATCTTGACAGCTAAGCAGTATTAGCCCTGGTTAGTACTTGGATAGGAGACCACCAACAAATATCAGATGTTGGAATCATACAGTTGGAAGAGACCTCGTGGGCCATCTATTCAGTCCAAACTCCTGCCACAAAGCAGGGAAATCACATTCAAAGCACCTCTGACAGATGGTCATCCAATCTGTATTTCCAGCAAAAGAGCTGGCAAAACCACCTCTGAATATTCCTTGCCTAGGAAGACATTGGAGTAACCATAAGTTGACAGGCAACACAAAGGCACATGTGCACACACAAATTAAATTGCTAATCCCAGTTGGAACTGAAAATGAGGCTGTGGGATCACATAGTGATACAATATATGAGACATTTCAGTCTGTCGCTCCACCGCCTGGTCTTTCCAACATAGTAACTGTGTATCATAACCAACAAGAAGAAGTAAATAAGACAAGGAATTGTGACAAATCCATATGTGAGAGCAGCCAAGCCATATTTATTGCAAAGAAAAACAATGTACTAAAGACTGTCATATACCCTCCAAGCTTCCTCCTTTTAAGTTGCTTTTAATGTTCCCAATTTCACTCTCCTCCTCCCACTATCTCTCTTTATTGTCACTTAATATGCTTCACCTTGTTTTGTTCAATGTCTATCTTCGTTAATCTGCTGTATACCACCTTAGTCCCAATCATTTTAGTCGAATTTAAAAGTTTTTAAGGATCTAATGTGTTAAAAGTGTGAATGTATTATGTATTGTTTATTTAAGCTGGTTTTGCTTGTTACTTGTACTTTTGGCATTGAATGTTTGCCAAAGTGTTTTACTTTGCTGTAAGCTGCCATGAATCTCTTTGGGGAGACAGGATGGGCTATAAATAAAGCAATAATAAGAATAATTTATTTGTTGTGAACTAAATTAAAACTGGTGAAGTAGTTGACAGAGGAAGAGAAGAATATGGACAAAATCTTCCCAAGAGACTCAGGCAAAAGCAAACTGCTGCAGCCTCTCCTAGCCTGTTCATTCTTCCTCATTAATAACAGTGCCATTTTGACCACATTCTGTTGTTGTTGGGCTACATGTATCCTAGTTTTCATCTGAGACATGTTTTGGGGGGGGGGGGGGGGGGGGGGGGGGGGGGGAGACAGAGATTTTGTCATGATGATATTCCTTTTTGTGTGAGAGAAAGAGTATACTATGTTGTATAGAAAACTTTGCAGGTTAAAATTAGAATAGGGCCATATTTAGATCCCCACATAACTCTTTTTCTGTTCAAGTAGTCCAGGAAAGAATAGATCCATACCAATGTAGGAAAGCCATCCAGTGAGCAATTCCATTAACCTAGCAGGGCATTTGCATTTCAGTGAAACAGAGAACCGTATGGCACTTTAAATATTAACATATTTATTATGACATAAATCCCTGCAGTCAAGAGCTAATTTTTTCTGCTGTATGAAATGATATTCCAAGCTGGTGAGTATGGATATAGGTATAGTGAAAATACAAATGGTTTCTTTAAAAAAGTAATGAAGTGGGAGAAAGGCTTTATTTTATTCTAGCAAGGCAGGGACATTTAAAAAGGTTTGGTTTTCTTCTTGACAGTACTGATTTTCTCCTACAAGTCTGTTATTGATGGCATCCTTCGGAGTGCCTCATTTAGATGGATTGAAAGTCTCTGGAAAAGCCAGGTTAGTCAGTTTATAAAGGAAAAAACTCTCAAGGTTAATCCAGCATTCAAATCAACATTTGTACTGTGGAAGGGACTAAGCCATTGCCTGGCTCAGTGCCTGAAGTCTTGGTAGGATGCATTTTAAACAATGCAGTTCCAATTGAGGTTGCTTTAATATCTTGGCACAATCAGCAGAAAGGTCAAAAGCTTAATGACAGAATTTCAGGCAGCTTAAACATCATACGGTGGGGAAAAATAATATGGATTCTTCAGGAAAAAAAGGTCCAGAGTATCTATAATTTACTTGAGCCTCAACTTGCACTTAAAGCCAGAGCCTGGGATATCACCCACTTCATATCAGAACAATATGGGACCCAAGAGGCGTCTTTATACCCAGCCAGACCATTGGTGCCTCTAAGGTCCCTTCCACACAGCTGAATAAAATCCCACATAAAATTTTCTGCTTTGAACTGGGATATATGGCAGTGTGGACTCTGATAATCCAGTTCAAATCAGATATTGTGGGATTTTCTGCCTTGGTGTTCTGGATTATATGGTTATGTGGAAGGCCCTCAAAGTATATCTACACCGTAGACTTTATGCCACTTTAACTGTCGTGACTCAATGTTATGGAATTATGGGAACTGCAATTTAACAAACTCTTTAGCTTGCTATGCGAAAGAGTGCTGCTGCCTCACCAAACTACAACTCCTATAGTATTGAGCCATGATGGTAAAAGAGGTATCAAACTGCATTTGTTCTTCATTGTATCCTAAGTATTGTCAACATTGATTGGTTGTAGCCCTTCAAAAGCAGGAGCTTTACTTTCCTAGTCCTTCCTAGATATAATTGTCCATGGTTTTGTCTTTAATAGGAAAAGTAACAACTATGTAAAAACTGACTCATGCTCATAAAGTAACTGTGTGTGTAAACATCTCAGGTTCACCCCTCTTAATATTATTTCTGATTATGCAGCCATAAGGAATATGGACAGCCGATGCAATTGCGCTGGAAGATGTTATCAACTATTTCAGAACCCACTCCCCCTCTTGTATTACCGCAACGAGTGTGATAAAGGGCTCCCTCTCCCAATTTTCTCATAATGCCAGATTCTGGCTTGAATATCATGCAAGATATGCAATGTTATTAAAATGACAATAGAAGACACTTAACACATAAGAAGCTTTATTATCTTCTATGCTACTTGCATCACAAGTGTGCTTTTGCAATGATTTCCAGCAATATTCTGAATCTTAATAAGTCACTGAAAGAATCGTATTCTTTTCACACAGATAAATAAATATGCTTTTAGGCAACCGTCTGGTTAAGAGTCTTTGAATTCTGAGCATATAGGTGCACATCTGAAAACCAACTAGTTAGCTGATGGAAGTGATTTGTTAACTAGTATTTCTGCCCCTCTTTTAAAGCATCCCTAATGCTGATTTTTAGATATTTTGTTTTTATACTTCATAATCAAAGCCACAGTGGTGTAGTGTTTTAACTGTTGGCCTACAACTGTGAAGAACAGAGTTTGATTCCCTACTTGGCCATGGAAACCTACTTGGTGATTTTGGGCAAGTCATACATTCTTACCCTGGAAAACCTCATGAAAGGTTCACCATAATTCTGAAATTACTTGAAGACACACAACAATAATAAAAACTCAGTAAAGTTGCTTTTTGGGAGCTCTAGGCAATATTTCCAGGTTTTCTTTATAATATTCTGAATTATTCGTACTACTGTGACAGGTTTAAATTTCTTTGTGGAGAATGGGATGTCTAGTGATGAGCCAATGAGTTTGCAGAATTGTCATAGTCTTGTTAGTTTTTGGTGCTTGGACTTTTGCTATGCTAGAACTTCATTTACTACTTCTAGGCCTCCAGTTTTGTTTCTTTGTATGCTTTCTACCTGACAGATAAACTTCCGATGTAAGCCAACTTTCAGAGAAGGAAGTTCTAGATCTCCAAGAGAGGTGAGTGGTTTATGAATATTTGTTGAGTCTTTTATGGACATTTGTGCATTGTGTATAACAGCACAGTTGTAAATTAGAGAAAGGGGATTGCCCTTTAGACTACGACTCTGGATGATGTGATTCATTGAAATGTATTTTTATAATGCTTATTATGTTTTAATGTTTAACTTATGTTTTAACTTATGTGGTATGTTTTTAAGGCACCGTGGAGGTGCGATTGTAAGCCGCCTTGAGTACTCCTTGGGGTAGAGAAAGGTGGGATATAAATAAGGTAAATAGATAAATAAATAAAATACCTGTTTCAGAGATTTCTGCAGGGAACAGGTGAGTTCTATAGGAGGGGAGGGGGCAAAACTTTATACAGTCTTGTAAGATCTCATCCACAGAGAGACCGGGAAAGGTGGGTGGCGTGGAGTAGGAGAGAGATTTGGAAAGAATTATTATACAATATCTTTCTCCATAGTGGAGAATTTTGGGACCATTTGAATGTTGAGTTCTTTCAGTTTGCTATTCTAGATGTCCTTAAGTGCTATTTTAAGGTACTCCTTCTTATGGTTCAGAATAAGAGAGAAATGTCATCTGGTTGTCATTCACCGGATGCCCTATACAATTGGGGCTAAAAACCCTAAAGTCACTAGATCCCATCTGGTTTTGGAAGGTAAGCAGAGACGGCAAGGTTAGGACTTGAATGAGAGACTACCAATGAATACCAGGTGCTGTAGTCTATATTTCAAAGAGAGGAATTGGCAAAACAGCCTCTGAGTATTATGTGGCTAAGAAAACCCTATGAAATTTGTGAAGTTTCCATAAGTCAACAAGTGACTTGAAGGCCTCTGCATGTGCACATACACACATCTATGCATATTTGCAACATGGGCATGCTGGTCATGCTACAAAATAAGAGACTGCACAAAGTAGTATAGACTTCTTACAAAAGAGACAAAACTTCAGTTCATGAATATACTAAAGCTATCTAATATTAGAAGAATTGGGGAAGGCAAACTGTTTCCCCCCCTCAAAAATGTGATTTATTACTTGCAAGCCAAAATGTTACAGCTCAGTCTGCCATGACTTTATTCCTATTATAATATGCTGCATAGATCAAGTAAAACCATGCCCACAGGAATTATGAAAAGTTGTGTAGGGCCAAGAAAGAGAATTTAGCTGTTACAGAGAGAAAGGTTGGAACAAGTGAAGAAGAGGAAGTAGAGAAAAGAGAGGGAGAAATAAACCCATTTGGATTCAAAGAAGCCTGTCTAACAAGAATATGAGCAGGAGTAAATATATAGCAAAGGGAGCTTAGGACATTCTTCACCAACCTGATGTCCACAGCTAATATACACATCAATAGCTTTAGGTACAGGAAACCATAACAACCTGTCTGGGAGGCCTTTGGTTGAGGAAGAATAAAGCAAAAAATTCAGAGAACAGCACAAATAATTGGGAAATCATGCAGTATAGATATTGTCCATGAACACAAAACCAAGTAGTATTGCAGTCTGAATTCCAAAAATCAAAGTTTCTCAAAATATCCCTGTTCTAAGTGAGGTGAAATCTTCTGAATGGGGCACAGACAGCAAAACAAACACCACAGGGTTGTTAATGCTTCCCTATGCTATCCAAAGCATGCACACACACACACACACACGCACACACACACACACACATTTGTTGAGTCTTTTATGGACATTTTTATATAGTTGTACTCAACAAATGTACTTGTTTTCCAACTTACCTATAAGTTCAACTAAAGAACAAACCTACAGAACCCATCTTGTTCATAGCTTGGGAACTGTCTGTATACTTCAGAACAGCTGACTATCTTTACCTTTTCTTTTATGATTGCCTTTCAGCAATTCCAAGGCTCTTTTTATTATGGCATATTAAAAGTGATTTGGGATGCAAATGCTTAATGTTTCCTGTAGGCCTCTTTTTGTCTTTTAATTATTGTTTTTTTTAATCTTTGCTTGCCTCTGCAGAATTTTGTTAGACATCACTGGGTACACAGGCGGCGACAGGAGGGGAAGTGTAAGCAATGTGGAAAGGTAAGACTAAGATCCTCTGCATTTGAAGTTTTGAATGTTTTCTATTTCATTTGACTCTTCTACTTTTGTGTGTGTGTCAGGAGAAACTGCAAGTTGATTCTGGTGTGAGAGAATTGGCCATCTGCAAGGACGTTGCCCAGGGGATGCCCGGATGTTTGATGTTTTACCATCCTTGTGGGAGGCTTCTTTCATGTCCCCGCATGGGAAGCTGGAGCTGACAGAGGGAGCTCAACCCATTCTCCCTGGGTTCAAACCACTGACCTGTCAGACAGCAGTCATGCCAACACAAGGGTTTGACTCATTGTGCCACCGGGAGTTTCGACTTTTCTACTGACAACATATTAGTTCTCTTCAAGGATAAGACTCCCTTTGCCCCAGTCCTTTCTTATGTTATTCCATGATTTTGCTCTATTCCATCTTTTGATTCTTTTGAATGTTGATTTTATTGAACTTGTGTGTTTGTGTGTGTGTGTGCGCGCAGTGGTTTGAGTACTGGATTATGATTCTGGAGACCAGGATTTGAATCACCTCTTGGCCATGAAATCCACTGGGTGACTTTGAGCAATTTACACTCTCTAGGTAGTGGCAAACCTCTTCTCAATGAATCTTGCCAAGAAAACCCTGTGATAGGTACAACCTATTATCTGGACCCAGAGGCACTACATATACTCTGCTTAATCTGCAGCAATGCCACATTGGTGTCCACATGGTCTAGGTGGACTAAGGACCTCATTATACTGGCCACCGGAATTGCCATGCATTGAAGCAAATGTGGTGGTGGCCAGCAGAGGGAACCCATTGCTACACACCCAACATCAACCTCTACCTCATTCCATGGGGAGAAGCGTCCACCACCTGGCTTCCCCGCATTGATCTCTATGTAACACGGGAAGCCTTCTGTGTTGCCGCCACGGTGGCATATGCTGGTTTACCTTACCTTTTGTTATGGAGCCCATTGGAAGTCATCTACATCAGTGGTTTTTCTCACACTAGAAATGACTTGCAGTTTCTCAAATAGCTCCTGACACGAATGAATGAATGACCAACTGTTAGGATTTCTGGGAGTTGAAGGCCAAAATATCTTGGGACCCATGGGTTGAGAACCACTGCTCTACATCATGGGTTGAGAGCTGATGGGTGTGAAGATCCCTTACCTTGCCAGCCAGGGTGGCAGGGCCCAGGAAGAGACAGGCTAGGTAGTTTTGCTTAGAAGGCCTGGCAGAGAGCCGCTGGAGCCATCTTAGTTTAGGGAAAAGCTCCAGTTCAGAGAGGGGGAGTGGCCGAGGCCTGAGCCAGCCCAGCAACAGCCAGGATTGGTTTGGAAAAAAYAGGCGGAGTTAGTCAGATGGAGGGAAAGAGAACAGCTTGTTTGGACAGTTGAGTTTTAGTTCTGAGTGAGTTTAGAGAAGGATTGGAAGTTTTTAGGAGTCTCTGTTAAGGATAGGCAGCTTGCCTGTAGTTTGCACAGCAAAGTAGGCTGTGGCAGACTGAGTTACAGCTATTTTAGAACAGAAAATAGCTGGGTTTTATGTTCAAAATTGTAACAAAGGATAGAACCATTCTCTCAAGTAACCATTACGCTTCAAAGAACCAAGAACACTTTTATTGTAACAGCCAAGCCTCTGAACCTGCATTCATTTTTTATTCTGTAACTTGTAATCAATAAACTCTTTCTTGTTATTTTTTAAAACTTTAAGCCTGAGTCAAATACCATTTTTGGTTATGAGTCCTTTTCCTTGTTAAATCAACCTCTCTTGTTTCCTCCTCAAAGAAAGCCCTTGATAATACACAGTATTTTTGGTGGAGTAAAAAAGCCTTTTAATAATTTAAACAGCCTTTTAGCAGTCTGAATAGCTAGAGGGTTCGTGATTCTTCAGTTTATGGTGGCAGCGAAGGTTTTTAAAATAAATAGACATTCCCCAAACGCTATAAGAGCCAAAGTGGTGTGATTTCCTTATTGTCAGGAGGGACAGTGTTGGGATCTGTTTGCCCCCTGTCCAGTGATATTGATTGGTCATCAAAGAAATTATATCCTTATAATTTGGTGGGGACAGTGGTGGGATTTGTGTGTCCCCTCTGCCTTGATAAGCTCCCTGAGTTATTATAATGGGCTTCATCACAAAAAGTAAATTGAACTGGTGTAGGCCATCAAAAAGGACCCCATCTGATAAGGTCATATTTCAGTGGTCCTATTGGAAAATTACCTCACACTCTGTGTTCCTGCCACTGCTCCTAGCCATATACAGAGTTCCATTATTTCCTTGCCACTACCTCATTCTGACATCAGCAGTGGCATCTTTAGAACTGGGAAAAAGTAAGGGGCATGATCTATCCCCCTTTTCCGTGCTGTTGAATTCAAGGAAAAGTGATGACTCCACTATTCCATCTGGAAAGCAGAGAGTTCATGCAAGATCCCATTATCACAAAGCTACGGGATACTCTGGAGTTTCCTGCAAACTATGCAGTATCCTCTGACTTTGCCCACAGTAAGGTAAAGCTGGTTTAACCCTGTAAAACCAATATTCACTGAAAGTCAACAAATATTATTAGAACAGCCAGATGTGACCTCAAGGCGAGCCTCAGTTTTCTTGCCTGTGTAGACTCATCCTTAGATACACAACCCCCCCTCCCCCCCAAATCAATTTAGCTAAGACTCCATCTTTTACCAGAATGAGGGAATTAATCTCTCAAGCAGCAAATTCTAGATGGCAGTGGTTTTTCCATGTTAGTGGCCATTTATATTCCTTTAAGGACAGGTGTTTCTAAGAGGGCTAAACTAAACATCCTAAACCAGCCTGATGTGCTCAGGCAGGTCAGGAAATCTTATCCTATCACCAGTATGGAAGTAGGAGCCCATTTGGTATCTCTATGGGAAATGGAAGGAGCCTTATTTTTTTCTATGACTCATGCAACTTAACCTGGGCAAGTTTTTGCATCAGTGTTAGGAAAAGGCCAGTCAACGGAGTCTTAGTCTATAGGTCCAGAAGTCCTTTTGCCCAGTTCATTTCTCATGCCTTTGGTGAAGGACACGTAGGATCCAGCAACACAATAGCAAGACAGAGATGTACTTCATGGCCCAATCATTCCAAATATGACACACTTCAAGATTACCAGTTGTATCTATTTTAAGATTGCAAAATCTTAAAGCCTTCCTGCCCGAAAGCAGTTGAGTGACAAGATATTCAAAAACATTATTAATTCTACATTTTTCAAAACTGCTTATACGTCCATCTCATCTTTTAATATTCATCGTAGTGCCAGTTCTTAGTTTAGCAAATCTGAACAATCAATTTGCAAGAACTGTGGAGAAGAATAAGAGCTCAATTATCTCCAGGGAGCATCTTTTCCTCTCACGTCATCCAATTCACTCCGCTTGTTTTGAATTATTACTTTTCTGTGAAGCTAGATAATTTTACAATCTCTCTCATTCTCTGCCTTCATCTCACATTTTCTTAGAGGAAAAAAATTACGAACGTCTTATCTTTCAACATGAACCAATTAAATAGTTCATGTAGTTTTTGAAGCTCAGCCCTTCACCTTCCTATTACGTATTATATAATATACAGGTGTTTGTTAATATCAGATAGGGTATGATGAGTTCAGGTATAGAGGACAATTGGTAGAGGGATTTCAGAGAGCTTCTGTGAATATGAGATTCTGAGTTCAATAACAATTACTTCCAATTAAAGTCAGGACAACCAGAGAAAATGAAGTTTGTACATGCTCCAGGGATCCACCAAAACTTCATTGGGTTATGGTACCAAATTCCTACCATTTCTATTTTGCAAAGAGTAACCAACAAACATCTCAGCTTGTATGTCTTAGTTTGTAGATATGTAAGTATCTACAAACACTTTCAGCAATCAATTTGGTGACTTAACTTTTAATCTCTATACCAGGCATGTCCAAAATTCTACCCCCCAGGTATTATGGACTTCAACTCCCACAATTCCTAACAGCTGGTAAGCTGGCTGGGATTTCTGGGAGTTGAAGTCCAAAACACCTGGAAGGCTGAAGTTTGCTCATGCCTGCTCTATACTATGTCGATGCCATGAAAACAGCTTGGAAAATAAAGTATCTGGAACTTTTGAAGGCTATAGTGACGAACAGGTGATTGAATCTTTTCAGAAAATCTCATATATTTGTAGCACCATTCAAGATATGTTAGCAGTTCAACATATTTTACTGTATTCCCATATAAATATTACTGACAGACAACATTGGCTTCATTCTGCAGCTGAGATCTGTGGACTTATCAACTTCTGAGAGTGCATCTATACTATAGAATCAATCTCATCTGACACAGATTTAACTGCTCTGCTTTACTGTTAGCAAATCATGAGGGCTGTAGTTTTACATCTACCAAAGAATGCTGGTGCCTCTCCACAGATTACAAATCCCAGGGTCTCATAATATGGAAATTAAAGTGGTGTCAAACTAGATTAATTCTACGGTGTAGATGCAATGGCACAAAGAACCTAGGGGACACACTGGCCAGTTCAAAGCCTGTCCCTAGTTCCAAGACTCATATGTAATACTCTCTGATGTTTATTGCTCCAAGAACAGTGTTGAAGAGGAGGAAATACTTGTGACAAAAACATATGTAATAGAGTCAGGCGCTATATAGTATACAGTAACGTTCCCTGGTTTCAGCCGAAATACCAGAGCTTGGAAATATATTTGGGGAGGGACTTCATTGGAAGCCTCTAAACTCACATGGGCCCACAATAGACTTTTGTTTCAACTGAATTTTAGTGATGTGGTAGCAGAAGTCGGAAAAAACTGCAGTTTACCTTTAAAATAAAACACATGTTCTGTATATGCCTATTATACCATGTAAATCCATCTATTCAGATTGTTTTTATCATGTCGGAAGCGACTTGAGAAACTGCAAGTTGCTTCTGGCGTGAGAGAATTGACCATCTGCAGAGACATTGTCCCGCTATTCAGATAGACCATGGTGTAATGTCTGTTGAGAATCCTTGTGGAGAAACCAGCATATAAATCAAGGGGAGGAAACCCATGATGCACATGCTGATGGAAAGAGAGAGGCATAGGTACATTCTATATCTGTAGAAGCTGGTAGATGGGTAGGGAGCTCCCTTCACTAGGAAAGCAGTTAGAAGCAGTTGTCAATATATAACCCAGCAAGTCATGTTTTGGTTGTTATCACAGACTATGTATTTTCTCAGGTATAATTTGACACAGCAGAAGGATTCACCTCTTTAGAAAATAAAGGATCAAAGATACCATAATAATAATAATGAAGAGACCTCATACATCAGGGCAGTCTTCTCCACAGCCAATGTTCCTCTTTACTGCTTTTCATCCCTTCAACTTCTTTCTTTGAAGAAATATGAAATAGCAGCCAGATGAAAGCAATGAAAAAGATTTTCGACTGCCTATAAAACTGGAAGCTTTCAGTGTTGTCAAAAGGTCATCAGTCACATCTGTGGCTGTAATTGGAATAGCTGAATATTTTAGTAGACATGAATAACATGGACTTGATTAATGCCTATGGAACTGCCAGACAAACTTGTTAGGGGTTAATATTATGACACGATTCAGACTAAGAATGAGTTACCATTAATCTTGTCTACTAGGATTAATTTTATATTTTACTTTCCTTTTATGTTTCACTGACTAAGGCTCAGAAGAAAAGAAGACATGGGATTATATTGGGGTGTGTGTGTATATACATTTACCGGGACTCTGGTCCAATATAGTATGACCTCATATCTGCAGAGGATATGTTCCCAGACTTCACATGGATATGTGAGATTGAATGTTAGTGAACCCTATTGAAATTAGTTTTTTCTGGTCCAATAAGAACATCGAGTTGCACATGACTGTGAGAGCTGTTCAGCAGTGGAACTCTCTGCCCCGGAGTGTGGTGGAGGCTCCTTCTTTGGAAGCTTTTAAACAGAGGCTGGATGGCCATCTTTCAGGGGTGATTTGAATGCAATGTTCCTGCTTCTTGGCAGGGGGTTGGACTGGATGGCCCATGAGGTCTCTTCCAACTCTTTGATTCTATAAGAACCTAGAAAATGCCTAGCACATTTTCTCAGTCATAGATAAATTAAGTTGTGGATACTGGTGCTGTAGATATGATAATGGCAATGATAAAGAAAATAATTATACTTGGAACAAAATCATTTTGCCCTATTTGTTCCACAAGCTATTGTTATATAGCCCTTGTTGTGTACTGTATATCAAAATTTAATCAAAATTGGCTTGAAAGACAAATTAAAAATATTTCAGTTTCAAATATGGGAAAATTAAAGGTTGCAGAGGGGGGGGGGGGTTGTATGGGAGACAATCCAAGCTATAACATTATATCTTTCTCAAAGACTTTATAGCTTGGAAAATTTATTTTTGGACTATAACACTCAGAATCCCCCAACTACCATATTCAATGCCTAGGATAATTGGGGAATTCCGAGAATTGTAGTAAAAAAGGAAAGGAGGACTATTTTAAATGTCTGATGCTTTAACTGTTTTCATGCAGTTACTACTAAATATAACTAGGATGCTTCTGGAACATGGCCATACAGCCTGGAAAACTCACAGCAACCCAGTGATTCTGGCCATGAAAGCTTTCGACAACACATTATAACCAGAATTCTTTAGATGTTCTTGAGAGATCCATCATCTTAGGCCCCTTCCACACAGCTGTATAAAATCCACATTGAACTGGATTATATGGCTGTGTGGACTCAGATAATCCGGTTCAAAGCAGATATCATGGCTCATCTGCCTTGATATTCTGGGTTATATGGCTAGGTGGAAGGGCCCTTAATGTCCTTCAAAATCTAATGTCCACTCATTTTATGACTTCACACTTCGAATTAAAGGAACAAAAATAGAATTAATGATTCTTATATCTCCATAACTGTCATTTGTGATATTTAATTCATTTTATTATAACTTGATTCATCTGAAGAGTATCATTCTAGACAAATCAAACGAACAACTTTAGACACTTTATACACTTTGTAGTGGGGTTGGATGGATGTGGTTTTTGATAGATAGATTTGAACTCTTCTTGTCATTACAGGGTTTTCAGCAAAAATTCTCCTTTCACAGTAAAGAGATTGTGGCCATCAGCTGTTCATGGTGTAAGCAAGCGGTAGGTAATTTTTCCCAAGGGTAGCACATAAATATCAACACATATCAATAGTTCTGCTATGAAGCCACTGGTTCTTTTCTTTCTTGTGACAAATGTCCTTTTAAAGGTAACAAAAATCATTACTTATTGTGCAAGAAGTAATGGAACTCCTCGTCACAATGCAAATGTAATATTGCCAGTCATTAAAAGGGGGGGGGGGGGGAAAGGAATTAAACTAACAAGTATTAATTGTAATGTGGAACATCCATGCAATTATGGTGACTTCATGGTGAAAACATGAATTTCAGAGGCCTTATTCTACTTCTCTGTCATATGGGACATGGTCTTTGGAACATAACTAGCATATAGGTCAAAGAAAAACATGTGTGCATTTTAGCATGGAAGAATATCTTAGAAAGGGTGTTTGGCTGTGATGCATAGGGAGAATGCTCTAGACACTCTGTACTCCTCTCCCACCACTGTTGTGGTTCAGAAACAGAGTGTATGAACAGCTCTGCTGAATTGGGGGCTGGTTCAAAATGCCAATGCTTTGGCCTGGCCAAAAATTTCACAGAGAATTTACATGAGACCTGCATGCCTTTTGTATATGGAGTCGCATTCCCACTGGATAAAAATAAGTGGTCTCTTTGACCTGAAGATGCAACAGAGTGATAGCATGACTGGACATGTGTAATTACATCTATTTTTTTCTTTCCCTGCCCTCTTTCCTCAATGTTCACATTTATCTTCTGGAATTCACCTTATGGACATCACTTGGTTTGCTTCAAGTTTCACAATAAAGTCACCTGCTTCATGCTGCAGCACATTGAGGAGCCATGTTCCCTTGGGGCTCATGCGGCTGTTATTGTACCCCCCACCTGGATCATTAAGGTGAAGAAACCTCAGGTAACTGCATGCCAATGTCTGTATTTGACACCGTGGGTCACCTTGCTTGGCTTAAACACCTTCAGTTAGGCATGTTTCACTTCACTTGGTCCACAAACCCTTCACCAATTCCACTCATAATTGTTATAAGAAACCATTATTTTGCATTTTTGGTTTCTCCTTTTGAAAGGGAGAGGGACTGTGGTAGGACCCATGTTTTGCATGCAAAAGGCCCATGGTTCAATCCCTCATATCTTCATCCCTTACAAGAAAAGAAAGAAGCCTTCCTGGAGAGCCACTGACAGTCAGTGTTGACCACACTGAGCTAGATGGATCAATTGCCTGATGTAGCGCAAGGCAAGGATGGGCACCTGTAAAAGGTGTATGGCCAGTTTTTGCTCCTGCAATGTCAAAGTGGGCTGTACTGCACACCACAACTGAAGTTTCTATTTCTAGACAGGTTTTAAAGGTGTTGTGTTTTAACTATCTCTGGCAATTTTTGAATAGTTTGTCATCTCTAAAACACAACAATGTCCTACTTTCCTATGATTCTTTCATGGTGTTATTTGAGATTGTTGGAATATCAGAAGACTATGTGCCATCTGGTTGTGGTTTGTCACCTAGAGATTTTCATATCAGTGTGCCAGTCAAAATTACACAGAGTTTTATTTCAAACATTAAAAAAACTTTCAAGGGACTATCAAAATTCTGAACCCCTTTTGGTGATAAGGTTCAGCACCTTAAATAGTGTTTTTACAAGTCAAATTAAAACCCAGAGCAGATTCACCATGAATCTGTTGGTGAAAGTTTGGAAAGACTGAACAAACTCTTACAAACTGAACATTCTGTCTATATTTTTCAAACAGGCTTGGGGAACATTCCCCTTTCCTAGTTTTCAGTATCACTCTTTAAATCTGTTAAGATCTGTATTCCTAACAGAATACAGATCCTAACAGTAGAACAAGGGATGGTTCTTCTGACATTGTGTTGGTTGTTGTAAATGGAAGTTAAAGGCAGCTGCAGAATCTGGGAAGGAAGACTTGTTTTGAAGCTGATCTAGAAGTTCTCACTAGCTCATTTGGGTCACGTTAAGCCAATTTCTACTGTTGGATGATTGCAATTCCTACAGAGCCTTGGAATATTTCATTGGCTCTGGCGAGTGCCAATTGTAGCCCTAGTGTCCATTGCTTGTTTGGAGCTTTGGGGATTGTACTCTCCAATAGGTGCCTTCTCTAAGGTCCACTACTGACTGATCATGTGACATAGTAATGCATTGATTTGTGGTTCCTAGTTTTAGCTTTGGTGACTTTGGGTACAGAAGAAATGGAAGCTTGACATCTTCAAGACAGGATGGGCAATTTCAACAGGCAGGTGATTCTATATATGGCCATGTTCTAGAGGCATTTTCTCCTGACGTTTCACCTGCATCTGTGGCAAGCATCCTCAGAGGTAGTGAGGTCTGTTGGAACTAGGAAAATGGGTTTATATATCTGTGGAATGACCAGGGTGGGACAAAGAACTCTTGTCTGTTGATTCTATATACTTCACATTGCATAATCTTTAGCTATACGAATTAATGCAGTTCTCATGGGCACAATGAGTGTGGCTGCAAAAAACCAAAATGGAGACAGAATCAGTGTTTTAGGAATGAGCTTCTAGAGGCCCATCTACTGGGCACCTTAATCCATGGCTTGTCCAGAGTATTGCTGTTTTGTACTGTCCAGAGAAGTGGATGATTTTACTTGCTTTGCTCCCAAATTACAACAGTGGTGGGAGCAGAGTCCAGACCATCCATACACCCTTACCTTTGCTGTCGTTAGGCACTGTGGCAACAGCTACAGAGTGCTGAAAAGCTCATGGCTGTCACTGGTCTCTTTGCTGACATGATGTCTGCTTAAAAGGAGAGGGGAAAGGAGCGGGGGGGGGGGGTCAATCCTTCTCTTCTAATGTAACCTTTGCTGACATGGGGTAAAATTGAGTTAATTGGTTCTACCCTGTGCTATAGGCTGGAGGCTCCTGAACATAATGTGCACCTCCTGGAATGACTTCTGACCTCATAGGGGTTTTTGGCACATACAAATGAATCCCAGTATTTGCATTAGATATTACAAAAAAGAAGTTGTACATCCTGTCAGGGAATGCTTTTTCTAGGTGTGCAGGAATAATTCTTTAGGAAGTAGAAGCAACCTTTCTTTGAAGTTGCATACACTAAGAGCACCTTTAGCTATGCACTGCTTTTAGTCTTGTTACATCTATTTCATAGTCGTCACACTGCATCCTCTTTTTTCTTATAAAACACCATGTTGGAAAAATTAAGTTGTATTTCCAACTGGAAGCATATTTGTATAGTGTATGAATCTACTGAAGGGTGCTCTTAAAAGTAACTCTTTCAAAACAAGGATAGTAAAATGGGGAATTCAGTGAACTAATATTTCTTTTTCTCATAGAAAAAGACATTCAACATCCTCTTGACAGCATTTCTTGTTCAGATCATTGGGGAAATAGGATTTATTGACTCAGTGTTAGGTAGAGTTGAAAAATTGGGTTGTAGGTTTTTTCGGGCTGTACGGCCATGTTCTAGAGGCATTCTTTCCTGATGCTTCGCCTCTAGAACATGGCCATATAGCCCGAAAAAAACCTACAACAACCCAGTGATTCCAGCCATGAAAGCCTTCGACAATACAATTCCACTGTTCTCTGCTTTCCTCGGCCATATCCTTCAAATGGGAAGTAGAGTAGATGTGTACACCTTCCAGCTCAATGTTCTGCCAGCGCAAGAATCCACAGATAAAGAATCCTTGAGGAGCCATCCTCCAAACCTTATATAAAAAAACTCCAACACTGAATTAAGATCAATGATATCAATACAATTTCCACTGATGGACTAGAACATGGTTGCAAACCATGGCTTGGGGAGGAAACTACTAGGACTAAGCAGGATTTGATCAGAAGTTTGATTTTTGTTCTGACCCAATCTTTTTGGAAGCAGCAAGCTTGGGAAGCCAAGATGATCAGCATGGATGATGGCCATGATGTTTGGTCCCAAAAGGCATCCTGCTCCCTTCCATAATATTATGGGAGGATGGATTAGTCAGAGATGGCATGAAAGCAGAATTGAAACAGGATGTATTGACTGTGGTTCCATTTTTAGTTGTTCATCAGTGAGGATTAGAATAGTTCAGGATCCCGAGTTGTCTACATAGTCCATCTTTAATCCACATCATAGGGTTGTTGTGAAGATGCAAAGGAATTGTTTTTATAATGGAGGAAGGGTGGGATAAGAATATAAACAGTTGCAAGGCATGTGGTTTACATTTATAAAGTTCAGGTTAGAGCCCTGATTACCACACAGACATGCTATATTTTTAGGTGTACCCTTATGATGATAATGTGTGAATGGACTCTGAAGAATTTGTAATAATTGACAACTTTATGTTTTGAAAGTCACGGGTGAGTTGGTATGCTAACTAACATTGGAGGAATGGTAGCATGCACAGTTTTGGCTCATGCCTTGAACTTAAAAAGAAACTCAAACAAGTCCCATGAAGCATAGCTCGTTTTATCTTGTTCTCCTTAACCCTTTTGTATAGGTGGTCTCCACATCAGGAGACGAACCTGATTGGGCAGGAGACTGGAGCCCCGGAAGGAAAACGGGCGTCTCCTACCTGAATTGGGAGGGTTGGCAGGTACAACATGTGCTGTTATGTGAGTCTATGGGAGCATCTAGTTTTCTTCTCCCTCACAGCGTTGGAAAGTTCCAAGTTCTGAAAGTACCTGTCTGGTCTCAGTGTGTGGCTTTCTCCATAACCGGTGGTGTAAAAGTGTAAAGCATGAGACGCATGCCTTTTCAACTCACGCATGTGTGCCAGATGATGTATCATTCTCCAGAGGTACTGTCACAGTCACAGAGGTGTTTCTTAATAGAAATAATTTGTCTTAGAGTTTATTCTTCATAAATACTCTTCTCCTTCCCTTCTTCATCCCTTTTTATAAATACAGAATTCGTTGAAAAATTCAACTAGGCGGAAGAAGAGGACGTCTTTTAAAAGGAAAGCCAGCAAAAGAGGCAATGAGGTAAAACATTAAAAAATACAACTACCAGTGCTAAAGCTGTTAAGTTAGTTTGCATTAACCAAGCAGCCTTTTATTTAAAAAGAATCATAGAATCATAGAGTTGGAAGAGTCTTCTTGGGCCATCCAGTCCAACCCACTGCCCAGAAGCAAGAAAATCACATTCAGAACCCTGACAGATGGCCATCCGGCCTTTGCTTAAAAGCCTCCAAAGAAGGTGCCTCCATCACACTCCAGGGCAGAGAGTTCCACTGTTGAACATCTCTTACAGTTAGGAAGATCTCCCTCATGTTCAGGTGGAATCTCCTTTCTGCAATTTGAAGCGATTGTTCCATGTCTTCGTCTCCAGGGCAGCAGAAAACAGGCTTGCTCCCTCCTCTCTATGACTTCCCTCACATATTTATACCTGACCATCATGTCTCCTCTCAGCCTTCTCTTCTGTAGGCTAAGCATACCCAGCTCCTTAAGCCACTCCTCATAGGGCTTGTTCTCCAGATCCTTGATAATTTTAGTCGCCCTCCTCTGGACACATTCCAGTTTGTCAACATCTCCCTTCAACTGCAGTGCCCAGAATTGGACACAGTATTCCAGTTGTGGTATGACCAAGGCAAAATAGAGGGGAAGAATGACTTCCCTGAATCTACACACTATACAAAATCCCATTGTCTTTTTTAGCTGCCGCATGACATTGTTGGCTCATGTTTAACTTGTTGTCCATGTTAACTTGTTGTTCAAGTTCAACAGCATCTGCATGTGCATCACTACTGTTAATTTATAAAGAGAGAAAATGGTAATTGTGTTATCAAACAAGAGTATACTAAATTCCAGGAATCCTTAGGGGGACCCCTCCAGTGGCAGAGATGAACCCACATGTTTCATTCTCCTTTGAAAATGGATCTTGTTCAAAGCAGAGGAAGCCTGTGGCTCTGGGACTGCAGAGTGGTGAATCCATTCTTTACTTTTAAAAACAGCTCCTCTACAGCTGTTCTGGGTTGTACAGAAGCAGTCCAGGTGCTGAACCCTATTCTGAACATCCCATTTCTGGATAGTTTCTTTTACAGACAATGATTTTGCATTGAAATTGATGTGGATTTTCTGCCCCTCATTTCCACAGCTAACATCTGCCTCTGGCTAGCAATTAGAGCCTAATTAGAGTGGCTTCATCTGTTTATTTATTTTTCTCTTTTTTCTTCCTCCAGGAGAACAAAGGGCGGCCTTTTGTTATAAAGCCCATTTCCTCTCCTCTCATGAAGCCACTGCTTGTATTTGTGAATCCAAAAAGTGGAGGGAATCAGGTAAACATGAGACAGTGAATGCAGTGACGGCTTTGTTGGGCTCTGCTGCAGGAGAGTATTTACCATCTGGCTTTCTGCCTTGCTCAGCCCTGGGCTTACCCACGAGGAGACCATGAGGCCAGCAGCCATGCCTCATTAGTGTGTGGCTGTCTCAGCTGTTCTGGGGTCTTGTCCATTGCCCCTCCAATACCTTCGCTGACTCGGGTGCTGCAAGTGCATGGTCCTTCTGGGCCTAAGCTGGCTGAGCTGCCTCTGAGGGCCCTCTCTATCTGGCCTTAGATACCATCCCAGAGTTCTTTTGAATACCTCTGAGGATGCTTGCCATAGATGCAGGCGAAACGTCAGGAGAAAATGCCTCTAGAACATGGCCATATAGCCCGGAAAAACCTACAACAACCCACTTTTGACTATTGTTCACCCAAGTTTCATGTGGGTTTATTCATTGTGGCCTGGTTGGTGAATTCCACTCTGAACTGGATGTTAAGTATTGATATCAAATACTTTATGATCTAAACCTCATCACTCCTGCACTTTAAGATCTTATGTTTTAAAATTGTGGCACCTGTACCCTAATCCTGTAGCCTTCTACACTAGCATCTTATATCACCGTAGCCCATGCTAATAACACATAAGATCACTTTTAATAGCAGGCTTATGTTTGGCGTGTGGGGGGAGGGTGATTGGAAAGCTATGTTTTTAATCTGTTTTATTGCATTTATATGTTTAAACTGTTTATAATTTGAAATTTTTTATTTATTGTATTGTCGAAGGCTTTCATGGCCTGAATCACTGGGTTGTTGTAGGTTTTTTCAGGCTATATGGCCATGTTCTAGAGGCATTCTCTTCTGATGCTTCGCCTTCTCTATGGCAAGCATCCTCAGGATATAAACCCATTTTCCTAGTTCCAACAGACTTCACTACCTCTGAGGATGCTTGCCATAGATGCAGGCGAAACATCAGGAGAGAATGCCTCTAGAACATGGCCATATAGCCCAAAAAAACCTACAACAACTCAGTTTTATTTATTATTTGTATGTATAATGCGGCATTGAATTTTGCCATAATCTGTAATCCGCTCTGAGTCCCCTTTGGGGTGAGAAGAACGGGGTATAAATATAGTAAACAAACAAACAAATTTTCCATGTATTTGTAACAAAAGAGTGGATCTAGAACCAAATGATTTCAGGAAAAGAGGGAACAATTATGACGGCTGGTTCAACTGGAATAAGTTAAGTTGGAGTTATTCAGTTATTTATAATGTTTTTTACTGGCTTGAATTAAGAATTCCTTTTGCATATAAAAAAGCTCATTGATATTCCTTGTAAGACAGCAGTTCAAAATTGTACTTTGGAGAAATTAACAGTTCTCCTTTTTTCTCTTTAAAGGGCACTAAGGTTCTCCAGATGTTCATGTGGTATTTGAATCCACGGCAGGTCTTTGACCTCTCTCAGGAAGGACCCAAAGATGCGTAAGTTCTGAGATGTTTGATACCGTTGATTGTTCCTCACTATTTTAATATGGGAAAAACTTTAATGACTCCACGAGGCACTCATTATAGATAAAAACCTGCACCGTGGCTTGTCTTTAGTATATGGGTGGGAAACTTGGCTTTCCAGAGGTTGTTGTACTACAGCTCTCACCATCCTTCTTATTAATGGCTGGAGTTGTAACATTCCAACCATATATCTGTATTTGGACATTCAGGTGCAGTTATGACTTGAGTTGGTGACACGTGTCAATCTCTTCATATTAGTTCTCATTTCCTAAGGTGGTGGGAGAAAACTGTGGTTCCTTCAGACATTACTGAACTTTAACTTTTATCATTCTTAGCCTTTGTGGTCAGTGGCCTGGAATTATGAGAAATGTTGTTCCACAATATCAGGAGGGTCACAGGTTCCTCACCACAAACCTAAAGACTGTTCTACTTGTGTCATGGAATTCATATGCATGGTTTTTGTGATCATCCATGGGATTTTGAAGAGTGAGCAGTGGATGTGTGTGTTAGCTTATTCCAGAAGCAGCTGACAGCCCTGGAATTACCAACCAGGGAACTGAACTTTTGTTTTCATGGCAGCTCTTCGGATTTATAGCACCTCTGCCACTGTTGCTCCAGGTTGCATGGGAGCTGTCCTGGTGACAAACCTTTGTTGGGAATAGAGTTTAGCACCTGAGTAACTCATAGCCAGCATGGTGGTTTGAGTGTTAGCCTTGGTCTCTTTGGGTCTTGGATTTGAATCCTTGCTCAGCCATGGAACCCAACTGCATGAGCAAGTTGTAGTCTCTCAACCTTAGAGTCAGGCAATGGGATAGTTCTTCTAAATTAACCTTGCCAGGGAAATCTTCACTATAGATCAAAGTAGACTTGAAGGCACATAACAGCACTTTGATGACTGCTGTACAACCCAAAGCAGCTGTGGCAGATCTGTCTCTAAGCGGAGGGTATTTTCTCTGACTCATGCTGGAGTCGCCAGCTGCCTCTGGCTCATTCTCTCCATGACAAGATACTGCAAAAACAAAACAGAAACAACAATGCCAGCACATCCCTTTGATGCTACATTTCAAGAGAAAAGCTTCTGTTGGTGCAAGTGGTGGAGGCTTTTGTTGAAATGCAAAAGCAAACACCATATTCAGAGATATTTTTATTGCCAAGACTATAGCAGAGCGAGAAGATTTAACTCTCCTTTCTACACTCTCCATGACCCCAGTATTGCATGGGCTTCTATGTAGGTATTTGAGAGCTTCATTTTTTAGAACTTCATTGTATCACAAAGAGCCCTGAGCTTATTTTCCAGTGCCACAAGATGGTGCTCTTGGACTGTTGCTAGATTGTCTCTTAACCATACCACCTAACAATATCAGTTGACTATTCTGTACTTGAAGCTGCATGAACAAAAGTGATAAGCAAGATTGGCATTGCCAAGGCAATAATTGACAGATGTCTTTCAAAACTTCATATAGTTTGTTCTGCAGCTTATTTGTGAAATAACATGAGAAATAGTTTATTTTTATAGTTTATAGATAGACTCTCCTTTTAAAAGAAATACCTATCAGGCAATATTGTAATATTGAAATGAGAAAAGAATTCTGTTAGCATTCTCTGGGGCTTTATTATTACTAGTCTGGTAGTCACTAGGAGGCAGGTAGGGTCTATATTCTTCACAGTTATACATCATGTTTGAAGAGCCTATCTACTTTTTGATTTACCAAAGTAATACTGAAGCCTGTTAGCATAAGTGCAATGTTTCTGAGATATATAGTAATTTAAGCCAGAAATTGTATCTGTGAGAGAGGGATTCCACAAAAATTCCACTCAGCACCATTTTCTCTATGGATTTTGTAAACACCTGACTAGCTCAGGTCTGTTTTGGCTTTCATCTTGATTAAAGCCAAAACACTACTTTAATGCAAAGGATGGTCAAAGATGTTCAAGGGTCAAGCTACATAGAAAAATAAATAAGGAGTGCAATCACTCTCTGTGTACAGAATCAGTTGCTACATCCAGTGATGTGGTGATGCATTTTGCAGTTTGAAAGTGTTATTTTCTGTTTAATTGTAGAATACTTATTTTGAAAGTAGCTGTTATACTCTAGAATCTTTCTTTTTGTGGCTGTCACAAACTAAGTTGAATTGATTGATACTCTATGGTCCTCATCATACTGATAAATCATACTGATAAATCATACTGATCGCTCCCCTCCCCATTTCATTCCGTTTCACCAACAATCTCCAGTGAAATGCAAGACGCATGTGGTAATCTGCCTCCCTCTTTCCCCCATCACATGGGGACATCAGGACAAGGTGTGTTGATGCCCTGTCCTTTCCCCCCATCAGATAGGAGAAACAATCTTATGGGGGAAAGGCTGAAAACTGCCGATAGCTCAGTCAAAGCTACCCAAAATGATTCCCGTACCATAGTGGGCAAGTAAGCTTTTTGCAACACTTCCTTGCCTGGGTTGTTGTAGGTTTTTTCGGGCTATATGGCCATGGTCTAGAGGCATTCTCTCCTGACGTTTTGCCTGCATCTATGGCAAGCATCCTCAGAGGTAGTGAGGAGGATGCTTGCCATAGATGCAGGTGAAACGTCAGGAGAGAATGCCTCTAGACCATGGCCATATAACCCAAAAAAACCCTACAACAACCCAGTGATTCCGGCCATGAAAGCCTTCAACAATACTTCCTTGTCTCTTCAGCCATCAATGGGGCAGGGCCAGGGCCTGCATCATGTGATGGGGTTTGACTGGATCTGTCCTTGAAGAGGAACCCCAGCATTGTACTGGGCCAAAAACACCTTGTGTGATGAAGTGGTATGAGATATTCATTGAAAAACTATAGGAAAATGTGCTATAATAAACTTTTCCCATGTTTTAATGATAGAACCAATTAGGAAATAATATTTATAACCCAGGAACAAAAAATCACATTACATTGTGTTATATATCAATAGCTTCACTACACTTCTGTCTTTGTCCAGTGATGTTACTGAAGATGAGTAGCAGATATCATATGTTCTTAGTGCTCACTACTGGGTGATGCCATGCCCAAGAGTTACTTATTCATTGGTTGTAATATAAGCAGCAGTTTATTTATTGTATCATAAACTGTCTTAAATCATACTTTTCAAACCTACTTATATAATTATAATTATTATAATTATAATAATTTTATTTCTTACTCGCTTCTCCCTGTGGCCTGAGGCATGTTACAGAATAATTAAAACATGTTAATATTATTAAAATACCAGAAAGACACTTAAAATGTATTTCTATAAAAGATACATTTTAAAATGTATTTCTATAAAATACATATTAAAATACATACTACATAGTGCTGGAGCACTGTGGTGAAAATAAAAAGGGGGAAAATGTTTAAGCAAAACAATAAAATAACATGTTAAAGAGTGTGTTGTACAAAATGTAACAGTAATAACAAATGTATAACAAATGTAGCAATTGTGATAAATCAATAAAAATTATTATAAAAAAATACATACTACATAGATAAAACAAAGGACACATGTTTAAAATTCATGTTTAAACACTGGCTGGGTAAGCCTGTCAGAAGAAAGATTATTTCATCCAATAAGTTCTTTTTATAATATACTTTGCAATATGTTTTTAAAAATGTAATACCTTTCCCCCAATAGACTTGAACTGTACAGAAAAATGCCAAATTTGCGAATCTTGGCCTGTGGTGGGGATGGAACGGTAAGTCCTTTCTATTTGTATTACCTCTTTCATCTGTCTGACAGCAAAATCTAGATCCAAAATATGTCCTGCCTGATGTTTTAGACTTACAATGTACTTAGACATTCCCAGGTGATTACGGTATCCAAGAATACATGAGCTGCTCTACTCCATCAGGAGAAGCTCAGCTTGGATAATGAGAACCATCAGATCCAAACTTCTGCACCATTTTCCAGCACCATTTTTGGTATCAATATAGTCAACTCAGGCAGGGAAACAGCTTGGCATAAGGGTAGGTGGCAACATTCCTGTTCCATCCAACCCAATGCAAGATACAAGTTTATGCCAGAGTGCATAAATTTTCTTGTGAGGGAGCTGGGATGCTTCTGGATGATAGCAACTCTCTCCCACCCAATCTAGGTTAATGCTGAACCAAGTATCTGGATGGACACAGCTGGGAGAACAACTCCACCTACCTAGGTATCCATAAACAGACTAGACTGACCCCCCTCACCCACACAATCCATAACCAAGTCATGCATGGTAGATCTTTTGTTACAGATCCATATGTGATTCATGAGCAGCACAATAGATCAGGTGTGGGCTAGATTTGCAAACTGAGGAGGGATAATTGAAGAAACTACCCCCTTCTCAAAACAGAGTGGTGAATGGCAAGATCTTAGTTCATCCTGGGATAACCTAATAGACACGCAGAACCCCTCTACTCTCTTTGCCATGGTGCCGCTTTTGGCTTTTTGATTGTCTGAGCAGGGAAATGATGGTGTCAGCAGCCAGGCATAGCTAACCCCTTGAGATGGCAAGATATGTTAATGGGTCATATTAAAATCCATAATTTTGTTCTCAGAACCTATCCTTCCCTTATACATGAGGTGGTATATACCTAAGTATATAAGTAGTCATCAGGTGGTCATATGTCTTCTCTCTACTTGACAACTGTACAGCTGAGTATTGGTGGAATATATGTTACCATTGCAGAGGTTTGCATTGGGGATGTCTAGGCATCTTATACAAATGGAAAAAAAATACAGATTAGAATAATTTTAACCAAAAGTTATTGTTAAAGTATAATTGATCTGTCTACAGAATTAGATCTATTTAAACATATCAATTAAAAAGATAGTACAACATACTATTTAAAAGCCCTTTCCTGCCATTATTTCCCCAAAAGTCTATTGGAATAACCACCATGGGAGTGTGTTGTTACATTTTGTGGTAATGGCTCATTCGTACAAGAATGATGTCATGGTGTAGCCTTTGAATGCAATTTCCCTTCTTCTTGGCAGGGGGTAGGACTGGATGGCCCACAAGGTCTCTTCCAACTCTATGATTCTATGATTCTAGTCACAAGGTGACCTTATTGTCCATCCTTGTAGTAAAGAAATAAAGTAACAAATGTATATGTGCCTTGGAATGATATGTATGACCACTGCTCCTGTTCCTATTTTTGGTTGAGTGGGAGACATTTATATTGGCCAGAGTCCATCTATAATAAAAAAAATAATAATGAGTTTAGCTTTGTTGTTTCCATCTTCTTTTCCTTTACATTTCTCATTTTGAGCCAATGGGGGCAGCACCCTCTCATTAATATGAGTGACATATGACTTATCTTTGCTGAGGTTATGTTTGAAGCAAATGAATGTCTCGTTCTTCCAAAAGCCATTAAAATCTAGAAATGAAAATCTTGCTCAAATGGATTCAGTGAATATTCAATGAGACCAGATATTACTTTACATTATTGAAATGAAACAGAAAGTGAAAGATTTGCCGGTGGCGCTGCTCAGTGTTACTTTTTGAGGGTTTGGGGGAAGACCAGGCATAAATGGAGGTCTGTTAGTTGCCCTCTCCATCCTATGTTGTTTTACTCTGCCTTTGAGATCAGCAGGTATCCTAACACAAATTGTAAAGAGCAATGGGAGGTGAAATCCATTTTGCAACAGTATTTCATAATAATATACTTCATATAAAGTATAGGAAAGCTCAATTTTGTCTTCACTAAGTCATAGTGAAGGGCAAAGTTTTCTACCATTAGAACTCCTAGATTCATATTTCTCTATTCCCAGGACAGAAAAAAATGATTTGGATTGGGACTGTGACATAATTGGGGTGATGTTAGCTCCCACACAGGGCATTTTTTTGATACCTCATTTAAACCCCCTTCTCACTAAAACTTCTGCTAGCAATGAACTGAGGAAAATGCAGACATAATTCGTGCTCCTGTATGTTTTCAATTTGGTGAATAATGGACGTTTTCAGAATTAGTGTGTGTGTATGAAAGGGAAGGGGAGGTTTTCCTCAGGGCCATGGTGTGGAGAAGGGGAAGGAGGAGGATTTTAAATGTAATGTATCATTAACATCCAGCCTGTCATAGTGGTAACCCAAGGCTGTGTGCAAGGTTCTCCACTTTGTTTTATCTTCCCCAAACTCTGTCCAAACCTGTTTGGACCACAACTTCCACAAATATTGCTAGCCATTCTACAAACAAGGAACTAAGAACAATAAATGGCATGGTTTAGAATAAGTTGTTCTCAAACTTTGGTTCTCTAGGTGTTTTGGACCTCAATTCACAGAAGGCCCAGCCATCTTGACCAACAGTTAGGAATTCTGGGAGGTGAAATCCAATGTATCTGGAAAACCAACATTAGGGATCTACAGACCTAGCATGTTAAGAGGCTAATCTCAGCAGCTTTGGCTCTGTGTGTATTCAATGCTCTCTCATTTTCTTTCTTGGTGTTTAGGTGGGCTGGATCCTTTCCATCCTGGATGAGTTGCAGCTGAATCCTCAACCTCCTGTTGCTGTTCTTCCACTTGGTACTGGGAATGACCTTGCTCGTACCCTCAACTGGGGAGGGGTAAGGATATTACATACTATGTTTAGAGAGACCCATTAGATGCCTGGCCTTTCTAACAAATTGGAGTGAAGGGGTCTTTGGTTCTCCAGATGCTTTGGACTACAACTCCTACAGTAACCATTCTGGAGAATCAAATAGTTGGCATTTTCTCAGTGTGTGCAAAATGCAAACATTCTTCTTTGCTCCTAATCAAGCTTTTCAATGTTTTTTTAAAGACTTGGGCCTATTATTCCATAGTGCTGCATTTTTTAAGTTTGTGGAATTGTATTTTTGTACATTTTGAAAGATGGTTTCATTAATGGAGACTATGACCAATCTTTGAATAATGATGCTGTCTGTTCTGGTCAGATCTTTGCACTGTTGCACTTACACAAATGGATATCAATTATTCCTGGCTATTGTTCTGCCCTCACTTCAGGGATATACAGATGAACCTGTTGCAAAAATCCTCTGCCATGTAGAAGATGGAACCATTGTCCAGTTGGACCGCTGGAACCTTCATGTGGAGAGAAACCCTGATTTGCCCCAAGATGAACTTGAAGATGGAGCACGGAAGGTTAGCATCGGATATCCTTTATTGGAACAAACTTTTGGGAAGAGACTAGCAATTTAACAAGATGGGAGGATGAATTATTCTAGTTGGAGAAGACCTATGCAATTTATTTTTCACTAGCTTCTGTTTAGTTGGCTAATTTCATGGTACAGGTTATCAAACAAGTTAATCAATCCATTGTTTTATTGTCCTAGTAGTTTTCCAGTTGAGTCAGCATGGTGTAGTGGTTTGGGTGTTGGCCTGGGACCCAGGAGGCCAGGGTTCAGATACCCATTCTGACTTGGAAGGTCACATTGGGTGAGTCACACTTTCTTGTCCTTAGAGGAAGGTAATGCCAAACCTCCTCTGAATAAACTCTGGGGTTAACATAAGGTGTGGTTGACTTGAAAGCACATAAGATCAGCAGCAAAAACAACAATGTGTGCAGTTTATTCTTTCCAAAAGTACATGAACTGGAGGCAGCCAGTGAGCAAGAAACAACATTTACCCATTAGTTGAATTAAGTTATTCAAAGATGTAATATCAAAAAGATGAAACTTCTCAATGAATTTAACAGTGGCTGCATATGTTATGCCAAAGGGTACTGAATCAGAAATAGTATTTCTAAATTTGGCATGATAGAGAAATTGGTATGAATTAACCCTTAGGGAAATGCCATAGCTAATTGTATAGAGCACATACTTCCAAGATACATTGTAACCTTAATTAATTTATTGATTCATTTTAAAGTTATATGTATTATTTCTGAATACAGCTATATCCAACCGATGTGCAGCAATGGAAAATGTGTCCAGTTAGTTGAATAAATGCTTATGTCAGTTTGGATATTGCATCATTTATCTATATATTCAACTATATTTAGTATTTTAGGTAATTTATATTCAGCATATAATACTGACTTAGTTGTTTTGGGATGATTTTTAGTAAGTAAGTAAATAAGTAAGTAAGTAAAAGCCGCCCTATCTCCCTGTGGGGACTCGGGGTAGCTCACAACATAAAAGGCAAACATTAAATGTTATAAAATACAATAATAGATTAAACAATACAGCTAAGCAATATAAAACATTCAACCATGCAAATAATTATATAGAGAGCAATAAAGCAAATTACACAATATCATTAAAACCAGATTAAAAGCCATCTCCATATTCCCTTCCTTGTTTCATAAGGCTGGATTTTTAAACATTCGCAGCTTCATATGCCTGGGTGCATAGGAAGGTTTTTATTTGTTTCCTAAAGGAGGATAGTGATGGGGCCATTCTCATCTCCTTCAGGAGGGAGATCTAGAGGTGGGGGGGGGGGGATTGCAGAGAAGGCCCTCTCTCTTGTCCCCACTGACCAGGTTTGAGATGTGGGTGGATTGAGAGGAGGGCTTCCCCTGATGACTGCAGCGTCTGGGCAGGTTCATATGAGGAGAGCAGCTTGTCAGGTAGTTGGGACCCAAACCACTTAGGCCTTTAAAGGTAACTACCAGCACTTTATGTTTATCAGGACTTTATCAGCCAAGGCAGACAAACCAGCATTTCAAATGTTTGCATTCAGCTTCCAGTTTGTCTCCCTCCTGTTCCAGGTAAAATCTGATAATAGCACCTAATCCCACAATCAATGTATCAACTATCAACAATAATGTGAAATAGTGGAATAGCTGCTTCATAAAGTCCTCAGTCTGCTTTATTTATTATTTATTTATTTCAAGCATTTGTACCCTGTCCTCCCCATCCCCAAGGGGGGACTCAAGGCAACTTTACAACAGGCAGCCATTAGATGCCAAACATCAATTAAACGATCATAATTAAAACAACCATTAAAACAGTTAAAAACAATCAAAATTTAACATTTAAAAATTTGTCAGTTTAAAACTTCCATACTGAGCTTTCCACTCAGTATGGAGGTGTTCAAGGTGTTGAGCAACAGAAACATAAAAATATTGAAAAGGGACATTTTCAAAGAATTCTGATTATACACACACACACACACACACACACACACATATATATATACGCATACATACATACATATATATACATATATATATGTGTGTCTGTTGCTATAAATTGGGGGAGACTTCTAATATCAGAGACCAGCATGAATCCATAAAATCTCAGTAGAACAATGTTTTTTACCATCTGTTCAGGAGCCAATAAAGAAGCCGAATCCTTCAGTTGTTTTTATAACAAGTTCTGAAATAATATTTATAGAATGTGTTAACTCTGTAAAGTCTCTTTTGAATATCCCTAATTTGGATGTAAATAGATTCATTACGACAACCCCCCTCCTGAAAATATCACTTGGCAATTTCCTTGATATTAATTTGGCAGCTAGCCTTTTTCATTTTCTGAAGCCTTGGTTTCTGTCTCTGCCAAATGATTTTGTGTTGCTTTCACATTGGTGTGTTTTAACAACAACAACAAAAAACACCATCATCACAATCATCATCCTGTTGAGTGATTTCATCAACTGCAAAACCACAGGTTCCAAAGCCCAGCATACCTAGCTAAGCCAGAAGGTCAAATCAGACACAGGCAGGTTTGAAGGCAAAAGCAGAGGTATTTATTCTCAGTATAATATAAATGGGTTCCTGAATATGTACACACAAACAAAAATACCACTTATACAGAAGGTAAACAATAATAGAATTCAGCATGCAGTTATATAGACATGTTGTACTGTTCAATTTTACAGTGATATCAAACAATATTGTGTACATTTTGGTACAATCTCTTTAAAGTAATATCAATGTCGTATCTTCTTATGTTGAGTAGCTTATGGATCAGCTACCCACGACTGGTTTCGGCCTTACTTCAGGCCTTCTTCTGGTGGGCTGAAATTATTGTATAAATCAAAATTTTGCTACAATTACATACATACTGAATATCATATACTAGAATACACTTAAAGAAACTTGCTAAGTCTTAATACTTGCTATTACAACAAGTAATGAACATATCCATTAAACACCATGTGTTACAACACATTTAAGATACTTACAAAGCTATACACTTGAGAATTTGTTCTCCTTAGGAGATACAGGTTTTTGCTCAGTGGTATCTAAATCAAAGGAATGAAATGTGGCTATAAATGTTTGAAAATTATAATGTTAAAGATGAATATTCTGTGAAAATATTAAGGTGTTTTACAAAATAGGAGGGTACTCACATGATACTCTGCTGTATGTTGAGTTCTGGCTGTGAGTATGAAAGAGGTGTTAGTCCTTAATGATCCACTTCAGAGAAAGATGCTTTACAAAGGAATGCAGTGTGGCAATATGCAAAAAAGTATTAATGGGCTTAATGGGTTAGTTCTGGTGGGCACAATAGGGTGTGTCCAGTGTAGTTGTGGGTGATAACTATTTCGATAGGTGAAGATGGCTTGATCCTTTTCCATAGATAACCCTGATCTCATCAATGGGAGCAGGAAATACTTTGATGCACATTTTTGAGCAATTTCCCTTCCCTCTCCCAGACCATTGTGAGGAGAGCATGGAAATGGAGACATTGGTCTTGGGTGCATCTGGACAGCATTCCAGAGGGGATTTATAACAAAGGTGAATGTAAAACAAAAGGCGTGGCTTGCTGGGTTTCACAGAGTCATTGTTACCATATCATAACATTTTATATAATTAATAATTTGGGGAGTCAAACTGCTCTATATTAATCAGATCCAGTTATAAAAAAATAAAAGTAAATACAATAAGAAGCAATGTGTAAATGCTTGGTGATATTTGTGTATTATGCTGATGGATGATTCTGCTCTTCTTTCCAATTAATTTCAGATCAAACTACAGATAATGTTAATCTCATAGCTTTATCTTTTATAGCACTGAAATAAAATAGTCAGTGCAGAGTCCACAATCCAGATCAAAACCCAGGTTAAAATACAGGGGTATTTAAACCTATAGCAATGTTTATGTTGTTAAAAACACGACGATAAAGCATCCAGGAGAGGTATATGAGTTTTGTCTGTCAACCCATGAAGTAAAACGCGAGAATAAAACACACAACAACAATAGTTGGATTCAAATTGGGCAACTTTTATTTAACGTTACCTATTTAAGTTCTTAACCTAACTCAAGGGTGTAAGGAACTGGTGAAACCTAACCCAGGTAGWATKACTACCCGWTAACKACAATTTCCGGGCGAAGCACCTGGGTTTCGGTAAAACAAACCGTATTACCCKRYAYGGAAKGGAATAAGGAGTCTCRTRSAGKMCTCTTGTATCGAGACTKCTTCCAYTTAAAGGCCATTAACRTACCCCTCACCCKAYBTSRDWAGGTGAGTGTATTAACTTKCCGGCCTTTCACCCCTTAAAGGGGTGCCCTAGGTGCACACCGACTAAAGGAATTACCCTATCTATTTACGCCTGGCCTATTTAGAGAATCGCCCACACCATCCATCTAGCCCCTAAACAGTATAGGGTAGGCAAAAAACCTCCCCTATGAAACAAGAAGAGGAAAAAATTCCTACCCGGCTCCGAAGGCAACCCCCAAAATATACTGTTAATGGGCGGGAGTGGTGGGCAACTTCCAGGCGCGGAATGAGCCTGGGCGGGGGCCTGGCCTGTAATCTCAGGCCACGCCCCCAGCGTTCTGGAGAGTTCTACAAGAACTCCTCCCTGCCTCATGGGAGGCAGACAAAAGCTGTTTCCTCTCCCCACTTCATGGGGAGATGAAATCTATACTTGCAGTTTTAGGTTGCATTTACATTGTAAAATTATACAGTTTAACATCACTTCATCTGCCATGGCTTAAAGAAATTGAATCACTGGAGTTACAGTTTTACAAGGCCTTTGGCTTTATTCACAAAAGGGGATTGATGTCTCAGTAAATTATAACTTCTAGGATTCCATAACATTGCGCCATCACAGTTAAAGTGATGTCAAGCTGAATATTTTCTAAAGCACTGTGTGCTTTGCAGTCTTTTTTATATCTTATGGTAACCCTAAGGAAAGTCTATCATTGGTTTTCCTGGGACTGAGAAAGTCTGATTTGCTCAAAGTCACACAGTGGGTTTCTGGGGCCAAACAGGAATTGAAACCTGGTCTCCAGAGATAGTCCAACTCTCAAACTATTACACCATGCTGGCTCATATATATCGATAAGCATATTGAACAAGTGTATCTCAGCAGTGTTCATTTCTATCTTCTTTCTTGCACAACATTTTTCTTTTGCCTTGTATTGCAGCTTCCTCTCAGTGTTTTCAATAATTACTTCAGCCTTGGATTTGATGCTCACGTCACTCTGGAATTCCATGAATCTCGAGGTAAGAGAACCAATGCTTCTGTTTCTCTGTGGCCACAGAACCAGGAAAATGATTTGATAAAATGAAGATGAACTGGTGAACACTTACCAAAAAGCTGGTCTGTAGATCTTTATTCCCTGAAAAGCAGATCCAAAATCTCAACTGAGATTTTCTGCACCACAGTATGGGATACAAATGAGTTAGAAACTATTTACATCCTTGAGAATCTCATATAAGAGTGAGGGAGAAAAGGGCTATACCGGAATTCTCTTTGGAAAAGGGCTGTGCAATAATCAATAGGGTTCCCATTTTAATGGGATAGTGAATCCATTTTAGATTTTAGTCCAAATCTTATAGGACCTATCTGAAGTGCTGAACCTATTTTGTGGATAGACAGCAGCATCTTGGATAGTTTCTTTGAAATTCAGACTAAAAACCAGAATGGACTCCAGACACCACTAGTAGAAAAGCCCCTAATTGCCACTGGGTATGTGTGTTGCTACCTCTGAGCTGTGTCTTCTTGTGAAAAGCATCTGAATGGATCAATCTCTGCCTCTTTTTAGGTTGACATCCCAAAAGATAGCCAACTCTTTTCTGACATCGACACATGCCCTTAGTATCTGCATGACAGAAAGATATTAGCAGATGGAAATTTTTCCCTCATATGTTGTTACAGTTATGGGAAAAGTTTCAGAAAAGAAATTTCTGCCTTCCGCGCAGTGTGAAGGAAACCAGCTTGCTGCCAGAAATAATTGGCAATTTTTCTTCTGTGCTGTGGAAAGAAGAAGCAATTTAACTAAAGAAAAAATAATTTCTAGAAAACAGAGCAAAGCTGGAATATTTTTGCCTGAATTTATTCAACTTATTGGAAGTACATGAGGCAGGTATTTCTGAAGACAGAGAACATGTGTGAATATTTCAGGAGCAAGTTTATCCTCACCAGTCACCCCCACAGAGGCATCTACTAGTGCTATCTGATTTTGTTCATATGGACAGAACCCCCCTATCTCTTTCTAGTCAAGGAATTACTGGCAGGACTACCCAGCCAAGTGCTAATGAACAATCATCCAAATGTATGCCCACATGCAGCGAAAACACACTGATGACACCTGGGTTGTAGTTTGGTTTGCCTTGTTTGGCATCTGGCTGATTTATCACAATGGGTTTTGAATGGCAACCTTACTTATCCTCATTTTCATATTATCACAGAGTCATGTAGAAAGGTTTCTTCCTTCCTCTTCTTTTAAAAAAGAGCATCCTAATGCCAGGCTAAATAAAGATCCAAATGCCTGATGGAAAGAGCCAATGCATATTTTAACATGTTTAAGATGACTGCAAGCAGCAAGAATAATAATGAAGGGCCATGGAAGGGCAAAGGAATGAAGTGATGACAGGAGCGCAGTCATTTCTTTATGAGCATGTGCTGAGATGCACACCAAATTTGTCTTTGACTATACAGTATGGATGAGGACCTAGGCTGACTTTCTCACTTAGTAGAGACATTACTTAATAATGAAGTCAAAGCACTTTATAAAGAATGAATGGATGTTATTCCAGAGATGCCACTTTGAATTTTAAAAAACTGAGGAGGGAAAAACACTTTGGCAAAAGAAAGATGTATATTATATGTGACGAATTTGGCCAGAAATATTTTAAGAAGCATCTGTGTTCCCTTATTAATGCCTTCCCTCTCTCCATCACCTCCTTCATTCATATCCATACTTCTTATTACAACATGAAGGGCTAGGAAAAATTCTTTTTTGGACAGTAGTTGCCAGAATCTTGCAGCCAGTTTGACCAGACATTCTTTTTATTGTGTTATAGCAAAATAATAAAGAAGTACAAGTACAAAACATCATTACGGTCACTGACCAGCACAAAGCAGGGCACAAGCACCCTGGGAGGGGAAAGACAACTCCACAGTGTAGTAGTTATTTAAAAGTAGATTAGAAGACAGTTTAAAATCACATTTTAAAACACAGGTTATTGTAAAAGGTATGGAACCGAGGGGTAAGATCAAGTGTAGTAAAGAAATGGCATATCCAAAACTCACTGCAAAGACTAAAGAACAAGCTTTATAGAAGTATGTTGTTATAATATACACAAGATATCTCATTCTGTTTCTTTGAGTGATGCCAAGTTGTAGAATCATTTAGTTGGAAGAGACCCCAAGGGCCATCCAGCTCAACCCTTTTCCATGCTGGAAAACACAATCAAAGCACCCCCAATGGATGGCCACCCAGCCCCTGCTTTAAAACCTCCAGAGCAGTGGTTCTGAACCTGTGGGTCCCCAGGTGTTTTGGCCTATAACTCCCAGAAATCCCAGCCAGTTTACCAGCTGTTAAGATTTCTGGGAGTTGTAGGCCAAAACATCTGGGGACCCACAGGTTGAGAACACTTCTCCAGAGAAAGACTCCACCAGACTCTGAAGCAGCATAGTACACTGCTGCACAGCTTTTACCATCAGGAAGTTCTTAATAATGTTTAAGTAGAATCTTTTTTCCTGCAATTTGAATCCATTGCTCTGTGTCCTAGGCTCCAGAGCAGCAGAAAACAAGCTCACTCCTCCTCAATGTAACATTCTTTCAAATATTTAAACATGGCTATCATATCCCTTTTCTCCAAACTAAACATGTCCAGATTCCTAACCTGTTCCTCAAAAGTTTGGTTTCCAAACTTGTGTTTCTTTGCAATAAAAAATACACCAACAGAGACAGCTTTTAAATTTATATATTTTTCTAAAGCAGTCTGTACAATCCAGAACTCACTGTTAGGTCTCAAAGGAGCAAAAGCACAGATTCGGAATCCCTCCATTCTGCCATTCTGTACCTCCGTATTTTCTTTCCATTTACTTTTCTTAAATTTGTTGTGTAATACTTTATCTGTTAATGTTGTCTTGCACATTGTCTCCCAAAAATGAACTTATAGTAAACTGTCAGAAGGAATGTCTTATTTCTACCATCAGGTACCATATTTATTGACCTGTTCAAGACCGTCAAATGCATAGTGTTCCACCAGCTTCTCTATTAATCATATGTGCTAGGAAATTCTCTTTTGCCCACAAAGCTTCATGCTTCAATAATATATTTAGTTCATGAAGTAGAACTATTAATTATTTCTCTCTCTTCCTTCCTGGAAGTCAATGGGGAGGCATTTTCCCTCATGGAGTGGTGCTTCATTCTTTAATCAGAAATAACTGTGATACAGGAATTTGCCTAAATTAAAAATTCTTGGCAAGACCAACTCATGTCACCACTTTGAACACAATGGTTTGTAGAAGAATTTTGTGCAATTTCCCCCCACCAGCAAGTAATAATAGCACCGTATTTCTTTGAAGACTTCTCATTTAATCAGCACTGAAAATGGCAAGAAATTCAATTATTTGCAGAAGGAAAAGTACAAACTGAAGAAGAAATGATAAGACAATATTGAATTGAATTAGTAAATACTTTATCTGTTCTGCTTTTTTCTTGTTTATCACAGAAGCAAATCCGGAAAAATTTAACAGCCGCTTTCGAAATAAAATGTTTTATGCAGGGGTGAGTCGAAATGTATTATATTCCCCATGTGTCTTTTTACTTACTTGTGTGAAGAAAGATGTTCATTTTTCCTTTCCTTGCTTTAAATCCTGAAAATCATCATTTTTGTGAATACTAGGAAAAGTCCAAACTGAAAATATAATGAAAAGGTACCAAAACTGCTTCCAAATTCTCATGTCAGCTTTTAAATAAATGATGTGTTTGCAAGGTGGGGTGCACACAAGCCAAAATGAACTTAATATTTGAAGAAATGAACAGTTCAGCAAATTTCTTCAACTATTATGTTTATTAAAAATCAGATATGTTGATTTATCCATCCTTAGTTTTGGACTCATTTCCCTTGCTGCTGTCTTTAGTTCTTCACATTTGAGGGACTTTTGGGAATTGGGAACTGTTAACAGCATTTGCAGGTAATCTCTGTGCTGTTTCTGTAAGTGGTGATGAAACTTATTCTAGAGGAGTTTTTCTCAACCTGGGGATCTGGAACCTGGGTGGGTTGCGAAGGGTTGTCAGAGGGGTCATCAGAGACCATCGGAAAACACAGTATTTTCTGTTGGTCATGGGGGTTCTCTGTGGGAAGTTTGGTCGAATTCTATCATTGGTGGGGTTCAGAATGCTCTTTGATTGTAGGTGAACTATAAATCCCAGCAACTACAACTACCAAATGTTAAACTCTATTTTCCTCAAACTCCACCAGTTTTCACATTTGGGAATATTGAGTATCCATGCCAAGCTTAATCCAGATCCACCATTGTTTGAATCTGCAGTGCTCTATGGATGTAGGTGAACTACAACTCAAAAACTCAAGGTCAATGCCCACCAAACCCTTCCAGTATTTTCTGTTGGTCATGGGAGTTCTGTGTGCCAAGAGTGGTTCAATTCCATTGTTGGTGGAGTTCAGAATGCTCTTTGATTGTAGTTTAACTACAAATCCCAGCAAATACAACTTCAAATGGCAAAATCAATCCCCCAACCACACCAGCATTCAAATTTGCACATATTGGGTATTTGTGCCAAATTTGGTTCAGTGAATGAAAATACATCTTGCATACCAGATATTTACATTATGATTCATAACAGTAGCAAAATTACAGTTATAAAGTAGCAACAAAAATAATTTGATTTTTTTTTGTTTCAAGAGCGACTTGAGAAATTGCAAGTCGCTTCTGGTGTGAGAGTATTGGCCGTCTGCAAGGACGTTGCCCAGGGGATGCCCGGATGATTTGATGTTTGGGGGTTAACCACAACATGAGGAACTGTATTAAGAGGTCACAGCATCAGGAAGGTTGCAAACCACTGTTCTAGGAAAATCAATTCATATTAATCTGAGTGTGGATATTATCTGTGGAACAAACTTACTTAACCAAAATTTGTTTTCAGTCCAAATCCTAGAAGCAACTTAAAGGAAACCTAGATCAAATTATTAATATCTCATATCTTTTCCCCTTTCCTGTATAATTTAGGCAGCCTTTTCAGATTTCCTTCAGAGAAGTTCCAGAGATTTATCCAAACATGTGAAAGTTGTGGTAAGTATAAAAAAGGAACTATTTTTTAAAAAAAATTACATATGTTGATAAATCATTGGTGTACTTACATTGGTAAGTACATTGGTATTTCTCATGCCAGTAAGGTAATGCTCAAGATCCTGCAAGGAAGACTCCAGCAATACATGGAGCGAGAGTTACCAGATGTTCAGGCTGGGTTTAGAAAAGGTAGAGGAACGAGAGACCAAATTGCCAATATCCGCTGGATAATGGAGAAAAGCAGGGAGTTTCAGAAAAACATCTACTTCTGCTTCATTGACTATTCTAAAGCCTTTGACTGTGTGGATCATAATAAATTGTGGCAAGTTCTTAGTGGAATGGGCATCCCAAGCCACCTTGTCTCTCTCCTGAGGAATCTGTACAAGGACCAAGTAGCAACAGTCAGAACTGACCACGGAACAACAGACTGGTTCAAGATTGGGAAAGGCGTACGGCAAGGCTGCATCCTCTCACCCAACCTTTTTAACTTGTATGCAGAACACATCATGCGAGGATGTGCGGGGCTTGGATGAATGCAAGGCTGGGGTGAAAATTGCTGGAAGAAACATTAACAACCTCAGATATGCAGATGACACCACTCTGATGGCCGAAAGCGAGGAGGAGCTGAGGAGCCTTCTAATCAAGGTGAAAGAAGAAAGCGCAAAAGCCGGGTTGCAGCTAAACGTCAAAAAAACCAAGATTATGGCAACAAGAATGATTGACAACTGGAAAATAGAGGGAGAAACCGTGGAGGCCGTGACAGACTTTGTATTTCTAGGCGCAAAGATTACTGCAGATGCAGACTGTAGCCAGGAAATCAGAAGACGCTTACTTCTTGGGAGGAGAGCAATGTCCAGTCTCGATAAAATAGTAAAGAGTAGAGACATCAGACTGGCAACAAAGATCCGCATAGTCAAAGCCATGGTATTCCCTGTAGTCACCTACGGATGTGAGAGCTGGACCTTCGGGAAGGCTGAGCGAAGGAAGATCGATGCTTTTGAGCTGTGGTGTTGGAGGAAAGTTCTGAGAGTGCCTTGGACTGCGAGAAGATCCAACCAGTCCATCCTCCAGGAAATAAAGCCCGACTGCTCACTGGAGGGAAAGATACTAGAGACAAAGTTGAAGTACTTTGCCACATCATGAGGAGACAGGAAAGCCTAGAGAAGACAATTATGCTGGGGAAAATGGCAAAAGGAAGAGGGGCCGACCAAGGGCAAGATGGATGGATGGCATCCTTGAAGTGACTGGACTGACCTTGAGGGAGCTGGGGGTGGTAACGGCCGACAGGGAGCTCTGGCGTGGGCTGGTACATGAGGTCACGAAGAGTCGGAGACGACTGAACGAATGAACAACAACAAAGTACATGCCTGTGTTTACTTTTCATTTGACTTACTTGGTTTGAATATTGGAGGATATTTTTTATTCATGCTGATCCAAACCTAGGGTTTTTCTTTTGTCAGCTTTAACAGAGAACAAGACACCCATGCCTTAAAGTTTAGACTAAGCAATCCTTCTAAATTGAAGGTGTTTGCATAACATTACTGCATAGGGCTAAAAACAAATGCAGATCGAACCAAAGTCAGTGTGATACAGTGGTTAGAGTTTTGCTCTGGGGTCTAGGAAATCTGAGAACTTGTCTCCCCTGGCAACAAACCCTGTACTCACAGCAAGTGGACTCCTGGATGTATCCATTACACACAGTGGCTTCCTAGCTATATTGCAGTTTTCTTCTCTTTAAACTAGCTTTAAAGGGGTTTTCTAGAAATTATGGAGTATCCTCCTGTGGGATCGGGTCCTGTCTGCTGTCCAGAATGGACACTGGTAATGTCACAAGTGAGATTGGTGGGGACGAGGAGCAGGGTCTTCTCGGTGGTGGCCCCTCACCTGTGGAATTCACTCTCCGGGGAAATTAGGTCATTGACATCCCTCCTCTCTTTCAGAAGGAAATTAAAAACATGGTTATGGGACCAGGCTTTCGGGCAATCTGGCGGTTAGATAAGGACAATGATGACCAGAATCGAGAGTACTTGACAATGTGGAATGAATTTACAGACTATGAGATGGCGAACGCTGAGCACTGATTGTTTTATTGATTTTAATGTATGGACTGACTGTCTTAATTGTTATAATTGCTGTTTACATGTTTTATCCATGGTTATGTTTATGTTGGCATCGAATTGTGCCTTTTGTAAGCCACCCTGAGTCCCCCCTCGGGGGTTGAGAAGGGCGGGGTAGATATGCGCGAAATAAATAAAAATAAATAAAATGTCACTCTGTTGCTGTGTTCATAAGCTCATGGAAAGGGGATGACACATGTCTGTATTGTTGTTGCTGCTGCTCCTAGCCAGACGGGCTCTGACTGATTTTGTGGTCATCACGGCTACCTCTGCTGATATCAGAATGAAGTGTCCACATGACCAGCAAGGAGGAGAATTCCCCCCACCATCTTTCTTGTTGGATGTCTGGGTGCCCTGTTCTGACATCAGCAAGGGTGCCCATGATGACCAGGAGCTCAGCTGGGGCTCCATGACCAGCGAGGAGTGGCAGCATCTGCATGGAGGAAGTGAAAGGCAGTCAATCCTAGCAGAATGGAGGCATTCCTGAGCCGTTTAAACAATGCCTCCAGAATATGAATATGCTGGACCTTGGTTACTGTGGGAGTCAGTAAAACACATATGTTTTTCAGTACTAAATCAAGCATTTGGACTGAACCTTAAAGTTTCCTTGTCATACACTTGAACATGGTATCTGCCAGCAGTCTAGTGACTCAGAATCATGTTGTAGCTCAAAGTCATACTGCAGACTGTAAGTAGATGATGTGGTCAATGATGGTAAAACTATAATAATAAAAAAGCATGCCTCCATCATACCTCTAAGACTGTGAAATCTGGACATCTGTAATTTCCAACCTTTTGCACATTCCAAGATTATTATGCTGTGCTTTCACATTAAGACCCATTATTCTATCCTATGAAATCTTGGGATTTGTAGTTTTGGGAAAGGCATTTAGGAGAGATAGACAGCTTTAGTACCTCACCAAACTGGAAACAGCAGGATTCCACAAGATGCTGCCATGGCAATTGAAGTGGGACACATGTCTCTCCCCTTGCAGAGGCAGAGATTTAAAATGAAACTTAGAGTTAATACACTATTTAACTGTTCTGCAAGAACAAAGTGTTTAGCAATGAGTGAAACCACAGCTATGATTCATATAACATTTTGAATCTTACAGATGTATAATTGTACAATGACCCATTAATCCCCACACTGCAGTGGTCATGCTGGCAAAAGGCATGAGAGGAGTGTGCAGAGAAACTGTGCTTGAAGTAAAATTGTTAAGGAAGGGAGGGCACACGACATCTTGGGCTGTGAGTTGTGAACTCCTTATTTCATTCAAATGGGCTAAGAAAACCCAGTTTTCATAGTTCCTTGATTAAAAAGCTTCTGAGCAGGAAATGTGAAGTCTCTGTGTGTGCATGTGCCAACCCTTTCGTGACCTGTGATGTGATTTGTACAATGACCAAATAATATGCAGATGTGGCTGCCAAGATTTGGAAAATTGAAAAGTAGTGAGAGAGAGAGAGAGAAAGGGAGAGAGCATTCTTGGATTTCTTGTACAGGTAGGGAAGAAAGCTGGATGTGTGAAAGTCTGAATAAGTGCAGGTGGTATGAAGGAGAGAAAAACCATCAAAGAAGAAAAATATTTGGGATGTGAGAGAAGAGAGAGCCGAGGGAAATAGCAAAGCAGAAGGGAAACTAAAGGGTTTTGAATTCAGACAAAGTTGGTGTTAGCTGAACATAAAATTGGCAAAATGAAATCATACTGGGGTTTGATAGTAATTCTGAAACCAAGTAAAGCTTGGTTCTTTCAATAGTCAACATTAAACAATCAGTTTCAAATATTAAACAATTATGAGATGCATAATCATGGGATCTTGTTGTATGTATCCTAAATATTAAGTATCTAGGTCTCACGATGAAAAGGCTGTGTTAGAGAAAGGTGCACAGATACACACATTTGTTATTATAGGAAAAACTTTGTACTAGCTTTCATTCTTCCCCTTCTCTTTGGCAGTGTGATGGCACAGACCTGACCTCAAAGATTCAGGAGTTGAAATTTCAGTGTATAGTGTTTTTAAATATTCCCAGGTAAGGACGTTCAGGATCTACCTTATGTGCATTCTTACTTTCTCAAAAGGCATTTCTGCATAATTCAAAATGACAAAATTGTATTTGTTTGGGCCATTATTGTACCAGTACATTGGTTTTCTCACCTGTATATTTGTTTTTAAATATGGGCAGTAGTATTAGATGCTATACAGTTGCATGTTCTGGTAGTTATGTATCCCATCGGTGTGTTCTATTTCGTCTTTTCTCTATATAAGGTTAAATATAGGCAGAGGTTGACTTTTCATATATAAGACTGAAATGCCAATCCTTCCACTCCACATGAAATGCATTCTTTTTATCAAATACAATAGCTAAAATGGTCTCTTTGACAAAGAGTCATCTACAAAAAAGATTGTCCTCATTGTTGTACCCCAATATGTATGGAAGAGTTCTGAACTTTGCCATGTGGGGCATGATCTGTAAAGGATGAAGGGTTCTCTGTTTTCCACTTTCTCAGTTTAGAGTCATTAAGCTAGTAGCTGAGTAAATTCATGAGACACCCATCCACAGTGTAATAAACAGACTATCCCTTCTATAAATTAAGCCTCTCTGGAATAAAGGAAGGGTGCTGGAATGTTGTTTCAGAACTATGCATGTTCCATGATGCTTGACTGTTTGATACATATTACCAGCTAATGTCTTTTATTTTGTTTAAACTCTATATAAAAATCTACGTATTAATGTTGGTTTGATATGCATTGAATGTTTGCCAATTTTATGTTTTATTTTTGGAAACTCCCCTGAGTCCCTTCGGGGAGAGAGGGTGGGTTAAAAAAAATGTTGTTGTTGTTATTGTGTGAAAAACAAATGTAGGCATCAAAGTGAGGAGTTATTTTGCAGCTAATGACTCGACGGATCATTAGTTCAATCTTAGTTTAAGTACTTCTCATTGTGTATGTATATTTAAAAACAGGTATTTCAAAATCTGAAATAATCTAAATTACAAAACATCTCTGGTTCCAAGCATTTTGGATAAGGGACGCTTAATCTTTGCACTCCCTCCTTATATAGGTATTGTGCTGGCACAATGCCCTGGGGCAATCCAGGAGACCACAGAGAATTTGAACCTCAGCGGCATGATGATGGTTACATTGAGGTTATAGGGTTCACCATGGCTTCCTTGGTAAGTATTTTTATAGACTCATTCCTTCAGGGAAACTCTGTCAGATTAAGAATTTGGTGATATGTGAAAAAACAACAATAAATAATTGCCTAGGGAAGTACAATTTGTAGTTTGTATTCAACTGCTAGATTTACTGGGCTTTTGTTTTGATGAAACAATGGGAGTAATTGGCAACCATCCTCTTTTATCTGAAAACAAAGTAGACTGGGGTCAGTTTCACTGAGATTCTCATTTTTCTACTGTTAAATTTACTCTGTACCATTTTTGTTTTGAATTGTTAATTATTTTTTGCAGTCTTCATAAAATTTGCACATATTCTTGCTTTTGTTACATTTCTTTAAATAATACTATTTTTTCTTTGAATGTTTTCTATGAATTCAATTTTGGGGATACATTTTTAACTATATATATTTTCCTTGTCCTTCCCCCATCAAGTGAAACCATTTTATGTATATTTATCAACCTATGCATATTTTTATTTATGCACTATATTAAAAGTATTTTGGTTTGTTTGTCATGAGGCACAGAAAATTGCTCTGCACATAATTTTGTGTGCATTTTTTCCAAAAATGCATTTTTTGCATTTTATTTTTGCAAACAGAATTGGGATAGTTGGAAATGCAAAGCTTTCAAGCTCTGTGTGTTTTGATACATGACATTTAGTTTTGGGATCTCTGAACTGGATACATTTGCACATAAATGCAAATTTCCCACTTATTGTTATCTGTAAGTTCATTTTCTTATATTCCTGTCTTGATCAGGCTGCTCTTCAAGTGGGAGGTCATGGGGAAAGATTGCATCAATGCCGGGAGGTAACACTCTTGACTTACAAGTCTATTCCCATGCAAGTGGATGGGGAGCCTTGCCGGTTGGCTCCCTCCCTCATTCGGATCTCCCTGAGGAATCAGGCCAATATGGTGCAGAAAAGCAAGAGGAGGACATCCATGCCTTTACTCAATGAGTGAGTTGATCATTTATATGTTTTGGGACAGGTTAAGATGACAGATCAATAAATATAATTGTGAATTAGGGCAGGAATGAAGAATATGGGGCTGTCTCATTATTACTGAGAGCAGTGTGGTGTTGAGGTTTGAGTGTTGGACTAGGACTCTGGAGTTTGAATTTACACTCAGACATTGAAACTCACTAGGTGACCTTGGGCAACTCACACTTTCAGCCTCAGTGGAAAGCAAAAGGCAAACCCCTTCTGAATAAATCTTGCCAAGAAAGCCCTACCATAAATCACCATAAGTCAAAAATAACTTGAAGGTATACAACAAGAAAACCCTTTATCGTCATTCGCTAGCATTGACAGTGATGAGGGATGGTAGGAGTTTTAGTACAAAAACATTTGGGATGTTTGCATATTCCCTATCAATTGATTAAGAAGATCCCATAATTCCATCCCTATTGAACTGAGAAGCGCCCTAACATTTCCTCCTTACAAAAGACACCTCACTGTTGTTCTCGCTCAGCATGTAAAAACACTTGTACCACAGGAACAGGGTCTCTTTTGGCATTCTTTCATCAACAACAATATAATATAGGCATACAATGCAATAAATTTCAGGGTAACTGGGGATGTGATTTGGCTATGCCATCTTTTATTCTATTAAGAAATGGAGGACTTTCTTATAGCAACACCAGAGGTACTCCAAGTGACCAGCTACAGGTCAAAGGACATTTAGTATAATGCCAAGTTTTTAACTTTGTATGTTTTTTAAATACTTTACAACTGTACCCTCAATTTGCTTCTGACATGATAAATAAAATATTCTATTAAGGAACACCTATGTACTTAGATTTTGATGTGGAACATGTTTGAATGAACTACAACATATTTTTCACACAGAGATCTTAGCAAATAATTTCATTTTTTTTCAGGTCCCTCACTTTAAGAGTAAGATAGATCAAATGGATATGTTAGCCCATATCCCCCAAATGCTTTTTGGCATTTTTCCCAAAATATTCTCGGGGCATGAGAATATGCCTTGGTTATTCAGTAACTTTCACACCATTGCAACACTAAATCCAACAGTTTCTTTCCTCCATACACTGATGTCTTTAGAACTTTGTCCTTCAGTCCACTTGTGCTTTTTGTTGGAATGATGTTTATCTTTCATTCACACTATCATCAATCAGCTTAAAGATTAGAAGCTTTAAACTGGTAATACTTGGAACTCTGGATTAGTGTTTGGTGTATTTCACATTCCTTATCTTTGGTAATTTGTAGAATGACCTTGTAAGGTAAATCAATATGATACTTACCTATGCTATAGACTGAAGTTGGGTTGGGAGAATTCAGATTGGTTTCCTGCACTGCTATAAAGAGCTTCAGGGTAAGTAATGTGTAGGTTTACACAAAATGTGTGCCTCACATACCAGGTGAGCCAGAACAGTCTTGCTAGAAAAGTGGTGCATCACAAAACTTGGTGCCAACTGATCGGTTGGACTACAATTCCTTCCTTCCATAATCTGGAGATAATGAGAATTATAGTCAAAAGGATCTGAAATGTCCCATGCTGTGAAAGGGTGCCATGTGTAATTATGACCCAATAATTAATAAAATCAAATTTGTTTTGCTATCCTTTTGAGCTTGAAACAAAATGTTTTACAATTTGCCATAGTTCTGTTCTGAACATACAAGAGACAGACTTTTCCTCATGCCTGACCAGTCTTCTAACAGAAGTTATATTTCCCTCCTTAAAACAAGTTTGCAAAATAAAGGCAACATACTGTTTTGCTATCACCATATATGAGATTCCTAGTATTTAATAAAGTCTCCTGATATGATTCTTGTTATTCTCCAGACTCAAAATTCTGAGATCTACAATAATTTATTATAGTATCAGTGTTGTGTGTGTTCAAGTTGGCAATATTTATTCAGAGGAAATTAGCCTTTGCCTCCCTCTGAGGCTGAAAAAGTAGAACTTGCCCAAGGTCACTAAGCAGGTTTCCATGGCCAAGCAGGGATTTGAACTCTAGCCCAATGCCCAAACCACTTGCTCTCTCTACAATAACATTGGCAGCTATTTATTCTTTTCTCTGTTTGTGCTGTATGAAAGAAACTAATTTAAATTATTGTTGTTGTTTTTAACTGCTCTCAAATCAACTTTAAGTGATGACTATCCTTTGAATGAGATACCCCTGACTTTCCTTAATCAGGACTGTAGCTTTCTTGATTTATCCATTTGTAATAGTCTCCCTCTTTCCCTACTGTCTTCTATCTTGCCAAGCATTATTGTCTTTTCTAGTGAGTCATGTCTTCTCATGATATGGCCAAAGTACAATAGTCTCTGTTTAGTCATCTAGGAAAGGTTCGAGCTTGATTTGCTCTTGAACCCATTTTAGCAGTCCTTTGTATCTACAGAGCACTTCTTTAGCACCAAATTTCAAACAAGGTGATTTTCTTCCTATTAACAGTCTAGCTTTCATAACTGTACTAAGAAACTGGATGTATGATGGCATGGACAATCCTAACTTTAGGAAAAACTTACATCTCTGGTTCTGACAGGTAGCTTCAAAAACAATCCCCTTCCCCAAACCAAAAAAAGAGGCTGAAAACAAACGGACTCAAATCAGATAGTTCTTGGAATAACAAGGCATAGGGGCTTATGAGGAATAATTGGAGGAGGCAGAGCATTTGGTCTCCAGTATTTATCACCCCAGGCAGTTTTCTCGCTCTGCCTAACGACAAGGCTGGCCATATGTTATGTTATTCAGTTCATTATGTGAGCTTAAACTGTTTGTTCCAGGTTTACTGTAATGGCTTTGCATTTGTTTGCATTTTGTACATGCATTATTGCTGTAAGAAGAAGTATCCTGCTTTTTACTTTAAAGCTCCTCAAAAGACTGCACACAATATGATTATTTTTTAAAAAACTAACACATTGACTTAATGATAGTAATGACACCAATAACAATGGCAAAAATATGATAAGGTATAATGAGAACTAAAAGAAAAGGTCATGAGATGGAATAGGGATATTGTAGTGTAGGGAAAAAACTGAAGGAGCCGTGTTCAAAACTGCACTTGTGTGGGGGAATTGGGCCTCTGAAGGAGGAAGTTCCACTATTTGAAGGCTCTGCGTCACATTTCATTCACCTCCCATATGTTACCCTCCTCAAATAGTCTCTGTTGATGAATGCAGCGGAAGCCTTCAGCCAATTTGTGTTTTAAAATCCACATAAAGTTGGTAATCAGAGCAAAATCTTCAATCTCAAAGACCCATTCTTTCATCATCGATGCTTCAATCCATTTCCAAGTTTGGGAAAGTAATATTCCTATATCTGTTATCATATACTGAAGAAGAAGTCTATATTTACTATCCAATTCTTTATAAACAATACCAAACAAAATTCTCCAAATCTACCTTTAATTAGATCCATAACTGTTTGCCTTCTTGCACATCCATCTCATCTGTACAAAATCATATTTCCTTACCCTGGCAATCCCAGTATTGATTTGGCGCTTTCGTAGATGTCTAAAAACCTATTTAGAGTTAAATACCACTTATGCATCATATTGTACATATCTTACTTTAAATTATTGCACAAGTAAAATTTAAGTTTTAGTTGATATTTTGTGCATACAAACCTTTGCACATGATGCTCAAAACTTTGGGCCACCTTATTATGTACTGTTTTGGAGGTTCATCATCTGTCCCTTCATTTCAAAGGGCATTTATGTTTTTTTAAAATTACATAATCTTCATGTTTATAGAATTATAATGTTTTTCTCTAGCCTATTTAACTAGATTTTTCTTAATTAAATCTCTTTTTAAATTGTAGGTATGTAAACCAATTAAGATCTATATCCTTCTTAAAAAGCATCTCTCCCTTGTTAAAATTAGCAGCGTCAGGATCTTCGACATTAATTGCAATAATCTTTCAGTCTGTTTCACCCTTCTCAATTAGTGCCAATGTGCTTAGAACTTTCACTTGAATTATTTCTCCTCTACGTGACTTAGACTCCCCATGATCTTGTGCCAAATACAAAACATAATCATAATATTTTGATTTTTAACTAATTCTTACTTTTATTTTTTAAAAAAGTTCCTACAGGGAAGTAAAGTAATATCATTGGAGAAAAACTAAATGTATTTATACCAAACTTGCTAAAGTACCTTTTTAATACAATTATTTTTAAATCCAGCTTGTACCTTGGCTTTATCATACCAAAGAAAGCCATGCCAACCAAACTTCAAGCTTCAAGTTCCAACAGTTTCTCATTTCTTAGCAAAAGTTATTCATTCAGTCACATAAATAACAGGCCTTGCAATGCAACATAATATTTTGAAGTCCTAAACCACCCCTTTGTGTTAAATTTTATTTTGGGCTTCTTTACTTGCCAAACAAATTTAGAAAACTCTTTCTGTCACTGCACAAAAAAAGTATTCAATTTCTTATAATTGGAATTGTTTGAATCAGGAATCAAAGCCTTGGCAAAATATTTGCTTTAATTACTGCTATTCTACACAAAAGGCATAAATTTAACTTTCCTCATTTTTTAAAATCTGCTTTTAATTTCTTTCCAAACCTTTTCACAGCTATTTTGAAATAATAAACTGCTATTCTTTATGGCTATAACTTCCAAATATTTAATCTCTTTTTTTAACTTCAGAATTGGAAAGAGCATTTATTACCTTATCCCCTTCTGGAGTTAAACTTTTAGTCAGCAATTTTGTTTTATCACTGTTCACTTTATACCCAAAGCACGTCCCAGATGCCTTACTTTTATCACAAAGAGCCTTCACTGAGTCCAATGCTTCTTATGCACGCACACTGTGAGCTAAATTAACTTAAGGTGTTCCTACTTTTGGGTTGGATGGGGGTTTTCTTTGTTGGCACAAGATATGAGATGATGATAGGCACTGACCCTAAGCAATATGAATTTGAGAATTATTTTCTATCATCTACAATATTTGTATGAAATGTTTTCCTTCTGCAAACATTCTCTTC